ATTCCACATTTGTGTGCAAACCTCAGTGGCATGTACTGCTATAGATTACTAATTAATTTACCTTGCCACTTGCTTTTTCCCTTCAAACATAGCCTCTATTTAAAAAAAATTTTTCTTAGTTGTAGCTGGACAGCATGCTTTTATTTTACTTGTTTATTTTTATGTGGTGCTAATGATGTAACCCAGTGCCTCCCACATGCTAAGTAGGCACTCTGCCACTGAGCCCCAGCCCCAAACATAGCCTCTTTTTTAAAAAAAAAAAAAAAAATTTTTTTTTTATTTTTAGGTGGACACAATATCTTTATTTTATTTTTATGTGGTGCTGAGGATTGAACCCAGTGCCCCATGCATGCTAAGCGAGAACTCACTGGGCCACAACCCCAGCCCTAGCCACAAACTTAGCCTCTTAAGAGGGTCTTGCATCCTTTGAAATCTTTTTAATTGGCTTCCAACAAACTGACCTTAAGGTTTTCAGCAGCTTATGCCTTGTTTTCCTAATATTCAGGTGGCATTTTTATACCACTTTTGAGAATGTATCCCGAACACATTGAGTCAGGCCTCACTGTGATCAGTGATTCATATCTGTGAGATTACTGGCAAGGGTTAAGAGGACAGTGATCATAGAACAAGGGAAGCATGCAGGATCTAAACTCACTGGTTTGGCCTCGTGAACATGATATTCTAACCAATTCTTTGCATTTAATTTTAAGCTTTTGGGAACCATATTATAGAATGATATAAAATGTTATATATATCAAAAAGATCTTTGAGGTCACCAATTCCAATACAAATGACTGTCTCCAGAGGGGAGGCTGGGATTTGCTTTTAATGGCAGAGTTGGAACTGAAGTTAAGGTTGCCTGATTCCCACTCCAGTATTTCTTATTCTGTTTTCTTTGAATTATCTTTGCATTGTTAAGAACAGAACCACCTCCCAAGGCCCCATGATAACATTATTTGATCTCTAAATCAGACAATGCTCCAAGCAGTATAATGCCAACAGTTCAGTAATCTAGAGATGTCAGAGAGCTGTCAAGGAGTGAGCCAAAAGATCTCTAACTTTTCACAGGCTGTATTTTTTTTTTTTTTAACTTCTTTGTCAATCCTGGGGATTGAATCCAGGGCCTCATGCATGGTGGGTGAGTGCTCTACTGCTGAGCCTTGGCGCCCAGTGGGGTTGGGTTTTTTTAAAAATCCCTCTGATCTACTGATGCCAGTTTTGTATAGTTTACAGGCTTAATAGACTTCATCCTAATCTTTAATTTAACCTGACCAAGAAATGATTTCTCTTTTTTCTATATTTTTTTTCTGTTGTATACTCCCAGTCAGGTACTGAAGTAGGGACTGCAGTGACTCCTAGGGTGGTTTTGGTCCAGGAGGTATATGATCTTGGATATCCATTTGATCTTGATTTTTTTTTTAGCTGAATCTGTCACTCTTTTGTTTTTCTGAAGGGGTTAAAGTATGTCCTAATATCACAGATATGTCTTTCTAAAGTAAGGTAAATGCTTCTATTGTAGGGACAGAGGAGGCAAGGCACCAAAGATAGCAGGAAACAGTTTTATTTGGCTGCAGCCAGGTTCAGAGGGTATAGCCTTTGCTATAATCAACCAATCCCCTGAACCCCAAGTTCAGGGAGTTTCAGAGTTTTATACCCAGCATGTAAGGGGAGGGTCTCAGAAGTTCACTGTCTGCAGAAGTTCACATAAAAGCAGCTTTTTCTACAAACTACTAAACTGGATAAATATTTTTGAAAAACTAGTAAAGCACCTGGAATGCTGGTTTCTTCCTGGCCATTGGCCAAGTCAAACAGGGCAACAGGAAAATAGGAAGTTTATCTACATTGAACTCTTTTGCTGAGGGTCATAAAATCAGCCATGGTAAAAATTTCTGGAGAAGCCCAGTTAAGATTTTTTGTGGAGGATGTGGTGCCACTGCACTTCAGTTAAGTGTTGAAATGTCTCCATATATCTGCCCAGGTCATCTGTAAATTCGCCTTAATTTTATTTGGTCTGTTTTAGATATTCTTGGGAAAATAAGTTATCTTCCCGTGTAATTCCTCGGGCGATATGGTTTCATCAGCAGTTGGACTAGGGTATGTTGAGCCATGCTCTATATTAGGAAAGGCTGGGTTCAGAGGAAGTTTTGGGTCTTCATTATTTTGGTCTGTTATTGTCTATATATAAGGTGTCCTGCAATAAATGATTGAGATAGGAGAGTTTCACCTTTCATGGTGATTAAATGGGTGGCAACTATAGACAGATGGGGTGTGGATGGAGGAGGTGCTTGTTTGAGGGCGGGACTTTGGGGCTTTTGTGGGAGCTGTGTTCCCTGTGCCTGCTGTCCATTTTGGTGCCTTACCCTTCCAGTATGGATTTTCCATTCAGGACTGGACTAGTCTCACTCCCTATACTGAGACCTCTGAACATGTGAGTCCCAAAATAAGCTTTTTCTCTTCTAATTATTTGCAGTGAAAAAGGCTGTGTAAAACAGGTTCTCCTTGGGTTTAGGACTGGGGAGTTTGGGAGGGGGTTGCTTTTAACTCTTTAGGTTGGGAGGTTTTTTTTTTTTTTTTTCTCTTTTGGTGCGTGCTGGGGATTGAACCCAGGCCTATGCATACAAGGCAAGCGCTGTACCAACTGAGCTATATCCCCAGCTGTGGATTTGTTTTTTAAATTTGTTTTTGGTACCGCGGAATGAACTCAGGTGCACTGAGCCATATCCCCAGCCATTTTATTGTATTTAGAGCCAGGGTCTCGCTGAGTTGCTTAATGTCCCAGCCCTAGGTTAAGGAGATTTGAAAGATGGGGGGCGATGAGTAAGGATTCCAACTAACATCTTTTTGGAAGTCGGGGTCGGCCGCAGCATGGCGGGTCAAAGATGGGCGATGAGTAAGGATTCCAACTAACATTTTTTTGGAATTCCGGGTCCACCATGGCCACTGCAGGGCTGCAGCAGGTCGGGGCTGGAGGGCTGTGGCATGTCGGCGCTGGGGGACTGCTGCTGATAGGCTGCGGTGGGTTGGGTCGGGCAGGCTGTGGGGGAGGTGCAGCAGTGGGGGAGGTGCGGCCTACCTCTTTCCTGATTTTCCTTCCCTCTGGCAATTGAAAAATAGTATTATGGTTTAGGCTGCATCCAGTGGCCATTTTTCTCCATCTCCTAACATATATTCAGGCCTGGCAATGTTCCAGAAGAAATTAGCCTCCTATTGTTGAGTCTTGAGATCAAATTATTCTGTTTTCTTTTATTTTTTAAATTTTTTCAGTTGTAGAGGGACACAATCCCTTTATTTTGTTTATTTTTTGCGGTGACCCAGGGCCTCACACATGTTAGGCAAGTGCTCTACCACTTAGCTACAACCCCAGCCCTCTTTTCTTTTCTTTATTTTATTTTTATATGGGGGATTTAACTCAGGTATTTTACCACTGAGCAGGGTCCCCAGGCCTATTTTGTATTTGAGACAGCATCTCACTTTTTCCTTATAGCCTTGAAGTTGCAGAGAGTGGCTTTGAACTCAGGATCCAACTGCATTAGCCTCCCTGGGCATTGGGATTACAGCCGTGCCCCACTGCCCCTGACTCCTTTTTATTTTTTTATTTTGAGATAGGACATCTCTAAGTTATAGTAGCATCATCTCAGTCATATGTGCCATTACTAAATGCCGAACCCGGAGACCTCTTTGTCTTTGTCAATCGGAGATACTGAAGGCCTGTTTCTTTCCTTTTATTTATTTTTTTCTTAGCAGCTCAGTGAGACCCTGTCTCTAAATAAAATACAAAATAGGGCTGCAGTATTGTTCAGTGCCCCTGAGTTCAATACCTGGTACCAAAAAAAAAAAAAGGATTATTATTTTTATAAAACTCATTGGATTTCCTTAAAACAGCTGCTTTAAATTCTCCATCCAAGAATTCACCCATTCTGATTATTAAGAACAGTTTTTGGGATGGGGTTGTGGCTTGGCGGTAGAGCACTTGCCTATCATCTGAGACACTGAGTTCAATCCTTAGACATAACACCTTTGTTTTATTTTTATATGGTGCTATCTACAACTAAAAGTATTTTTTAAATTTAGTTCTTGGGGACTGCGGCTATAGCTCAGGGGTAAAGTGCTTGCCTACTACTTGTGAGGCACTGGGTTTGATTCTCAGCGCCACAAAATAAATACAATTAAGTTATTCTGTCAATTTACAACTAAAAAGTGGATATTTTAAAACAGTTTAATATAAAAAAAAAATTTGCCCCACCAGTCTGAACAACTAATTCTGTGAAAGGAAGAGAGAATCCATAAAGGGTAAGTGTCTGTAAGAAAAAGAATGTTTGGCCTGTTTAGTTTCATTGGTAGACATTTTTGCATCCATATTTTTAAAAGTTTTTTTAGTTGTAGTTGGACACAGTACCTTTTATTTATTTATTTATTTTTATGTGGTCCTGAGGATGGAACCCAGCGCTTCACAGCGATCTACCACTGATCTACAACTCCAGCCATTGTATTCATATTTTAACATTAATAATATTAATCATGGTGCCAGATATAAGAAAATCAAATGACCTGTGCATATTAAAATATGACTAACAGTTCAGCGGTTTAACATGTGTGTATTATGTTGGATTTTTATTTTCATTTTAGTTTTGCAGATGGTTTTCTATAACATACGTTTTTACTAAGTCTACGTGTGAATGATTTGAAAATTACAGAATAAGGTACAATTGTAGTGTATTTAATAATCTGTCAACCAACGCAAAAAAAAAATGGTAGCTCATTTTAACCATTAGGTGAGGTCATGATTATTGTAACATTATCTGTTCATTGAAGGATTAAATCTTTCTTCTAGTCTTCATAATCTGGTTTATTTATGTTCCATTCTAGAAATTCTAAGCAATTTGAGTCTGAGGTCACTTTTGTTGTGCCGCCACTAGATGGCAGCCTAAGTCTAGTTTTACTGTGTTGCTATTTCCCTCTTAGTGTTAGCTAACCCAAACTGTTTTTGCCCAATTCTGCAGTGGTGGCTGTGCGCTGGCTGTGGGGCCGGAGCTGGGTCAGTTCAATGGTTCTATGGGTCAGCAAGAACTGGAAGATGACCCAAAAATTGTAGTCCTTCTCAGCACGGCTCTCCGTGGACCTCAGGTAAGCCCAGTGGCTCAGGCCACAGATATTAACATCAGGGAGGACCTTTGGGGACTGTGCTTGGCACTGGGTTTCATCAAGGCTATTCTGGTGCTGGTTTTTAGGTGTCAGGCAGAAAATGTTTTCCTTCCCCCAAGCAAAAGGCATCTCTTTAAAATCTGCTTGGGGGAGGGAATGGCCCAGGCAACTTCCTGCTTTATTCAAAATAATTATACTACCCATGTGACTCTGCATCATGTACATGGCCCTGTACATGGCCAGTGCCTCACACACGCCAGGGAAGCGCTCTACCACTGAGCCCTCCTGGCTTTATTTTTAAGAGAATCAAACTATTTCCACTTAGACAACCTCTCAGCTTCAAATGTATATGCATTTAATATAAATCAAGGGACTACCAAAAAGTTTGAGAAAAGAGAGAAACTCAAATTAATGTTATAATGCAGTGGTTGTTATCATGGACTTCATTTGTGGAAAATGTAAAACCATTTATTTATTTATTTTGGTACCAGGGATTGAACCCAGGGGTGATTAACCACTGAGCCACATTCTTCAGCTCTTTTTATTTTTTTATTTTGAGACAGGGTCTCACTGAGTTGCTTAGTGCCTTGCTTTTGCTGAGGCTGTCTTTGAACTCCTGCCTGATCCTCCTGCCTGAGTCTCCTGAGCCACTAGGATTACAGTGTGTGCCACAGGGACCAGCTTGTTCTTTTCTTTCTTTTTTTATGAATGGGTATTAAATTTTGTTTAATCATTTTTCTTCAGTTGATATAATCATGAAATTTTCTTGTTTAACCAATTAATGTGATAAATTACATTACATTAAGGTTTTCTTGTAATTTTTTATTTTGGAATTACTCCTAAATAAAGTTAGAAATTTATAATATACCCCATTATACCATATCTTTCTGGAGTATCCTTTCCTTTTATAAGTTGACATCTATATAACATGAAACTCACTCACTGTACAATCCAGTGCCATTTAGCACAATCACATTTTTGTGCAACCATTAACTCCATCAGGTTCCAAATGTTTTCATCACCACAAAAGGAAATTCCATACCATATAGAAAGTTAGTCCCTATTTTTTTAAAGGGCCCTGGAAACACCTGATCTACTTTCTGTCTCTCTGGATTTGGCTATAGTTTTCCTTTCTTGATGTCACTGAGCCTCTATAAAACAGCTTCTTTAAATCGATTATACAAGAGTTCACCAATACTGGTTACTATCTGGTCCATTTCTGGTTCCTTATTTTGATTATTAGGTGACAGCATTGTTCCCTGACCGTTCATAATGATTTTTGGCATTCCTCATTATTTGTGCATTTCAAGGATTCAGTATTCATTCCAGTCTTTGGAACCTGGCTTGGTTTGTGCTTATCTTTTCAGAAATTCTCAGCAGGCTGCTGCTTTTCTTTGTTTCCCATAACCATTTCACCACTATATAGCAGCCTAAGCCCGTGTTTATCTTTAGTTTGGCAGAGAGGCATGCAGAAATACAAGTACCTCCCAGTGGGCACAGGTGTCTCTTTGATGCTAGAGCAAGTGTAGTTTCCTTCTTTGAGGACTGGCTTTGGGATCATTGAAGTGCCCAAGGTTGGGGGAGGGATGGTGGAGGCAGTCCCTTGGCTAATGAGGTTGATGCTCTTGTACCTGAGTCCCACAGCCACTAGTACATGCGTAGTCATGGGAGTCTTCTGCCCCAATTTGGGGAATGGTGATACTGACAATTCCTTGACTGCCTGGCTAATGCAGTTCCACTGGCTCATTCCATGTGTGCCAGCTTGAGTGCAGGGGTTGCGGGGCCCAGTCTAATGCTAGGTTTCTCTAGGGTGGCCTGGGGCCATGTTTTAATTCTAATCCCTGGACTTTTTTCCTTCAACTTTCCCCAAGCAAGAAACATCTCCCAGTACTCGGGGTTGTTGGAGTTCAGTTCTACCCTATGATCTCTATTCCTTTCCAGTACCTCATAGATTAGGGGCAGCCAAATATAGCAGCCTTTCTTCTTGAGGTATATTCTGGGGAGATTGAAGGGGAAGTAGAAGTTCTAAGGTCTGAATTAGAACAAGATATATTCCATGCTTGTATAATTATGTCAAAGTGGCTTCTACTGTCATTATATAACTAAAAAGAACCAATTTTTTATGTATGTATCATAAATTCTAAGCAGACTTATATTAAGCCTATGGCAGTCACTTCCCCTGTATTACCACTAGGTGGCACCATAAGTCCATGTTTGCTGTAAATCCACTCTTCCTGTTTTTGCTGACCCAAACCAGTTTTGCCCAGATCTGCAGTTAGTGCTGTTGTTCATCATGAACTGAAAATCTATCTGCAAGTCTCTCCTGAAAGATGTATTTTGTTGCTTTGATTGACATTTGCTTTATAGTGAAGTTGAGCCCCTTTAGATATATCCGCTGGCTATTTGTCTCTTTTTTGAAAAATATCTATTCAGTTCCTTTCCTTTTTGTGTGTGTGTGTGTGTGTTTGTGTATGTGGTGCTGGGGATTGAACCCAGTGCCTTGTGCATGCGAGGCAAGCACTCTACCAACTGAGCTATATTATATCCTCAGCCTCTCTTTGTCTACTTTTTATTTGGGTTATTTGCTATATTTATTTTTTTTTCTGTCAAATTATAGGACTTCCTCTTATATTTTATATATGAATAGTTTGTATAGGTATCTACACAGAGTTTTGCTTATTATGTAGATTGTCCCCTTTTGTGACTTTTCACTCTTGAATCTTTCCTTTGCTGTGAGAAAACTTTTTAGTTTGATATAGTCTCACTTGACCATTTTTCTTTTCTGTGCTTTTAGTGTCAGTCTAAAAATCATCACCGAAGCCACCGTCATGAAGCTTCTGTTTTCTCTAGGAGTTACAGTTCCATGTCTTACATTTAATTTCTAAATCTATTTTGAGTTCATGTTCTTGGTATAGTATAAGATATGGGTACAATTTTATTCTTTTGCATATGGACATCAAGTTTTCCCCAGGAAAATTTCCTTTCCCTATCATGTATTCTTGGACCCTTGTCAAAATCAGTTGATCATACTGAATGGCATTATTTCCAAGGTCCCTACTGTTTCATTGGTTTGTATATCTATATGTATGCCATTACAATACTCTTTTTTTTTTTTTTTGGTACTAGGATTTAAACCCAGAGGCACTTAACCACTGAGCCATATCCCCAGCCCTTTTTTATATTTTATTGAGACTGGGTCTCACTAAGTTTATGAGGCCTACTTTGTACTTCTGATCCTCCCCCCTCAGCCTCCCGAGTTTACTGTGATTACAGGTGTATGCCCCTGCACCCAGCTACTCTTTAATTATTATAGTTTCATAATATGTTTAGAAATCATGGAATATGAAGTTTCCAGTTTTGCTCTTTTTTCAAAACTGTTATGGATATTCAGGGGCCTTCATGATTCCATACGAATTGCACAATTGTTTTTGCTATTTTCATTAAAAAACAATACCTTTGTTATTCTGACAGGTATTACAGTGAATGTATAGAACACTTGGAGGAGTCTGGACATTTTATCTATTTATTTATTTTGAATTTTTAATATTTATTTTTTAGTTTTCGGCAGACACAACATCTTTGTTTTTTTGTATGTGGTACTGAGGATCGAACCTGGGCCGCACGCATGCCAGGTGAGCGCGCTACTGCTTGAGCCACATCCCCAGCCCCAAGTCTGGACATTTTAATAAGCGTTTGAATCACCACAGTTATTTTTATCTGGTTTGTGTTAAGACAACAAAATACCTGAGGCTGGGAGTTAATTTTTGGGGTAGTGGTTGTAGCTCAGTGGTAAACAGCTTGCCTAGCACATGTGAGGCACTGGGTTCAATCCTCAGCATCCCATAAAAATAAATAAATAAATAAAATAAAGGTATCGTGTCCATCTATTCATATTTTAAAAATTAAAAAAAAATCCTTTGCCTGTGACTGTAGCTCAGTGGTAGAGTGCCTCGCACATGTGAGGCATTGGGTTGTATCCTTAGCACCACATAAAAATAAATATATTGTGTCCATTTACAACTAAAAAATATTTGAAAAAAAAAATCCTTTAGCTCACTGTTCTGGAGTAGGGAGGTTCAAGATCATGATCATCATTTACTAGTGTGGGCCTCATGCAGCATCAACTCATGGCAGAGGAGAGGAGAAACAGCCAAGTGCTGAAGGACATACATGTATAATAGACACCAAGTGAAGTGCCAGTCTCACTATGTAGCAGCCTCTTCTTTTTCATTTTTTTTTTTGAGAGAGAGAATTTTTTAATATTTATTTTTTCATTTTCATTGGACACAACATCTTTTTTTTTTAATTTTGTGCTGAGGATCGAACCCAGTGCACCTTGAATGCCAGGCGAGCGCGCTACCCCTTGAGCCACATCCCCAGCCCTGTAGCAGCCTCTTCTTGTAATCCATTTCTGTAAGAACTAATCTAATCTTTTAAGAACAGCGTCATTAATTTTTTTCTGTGCTTTATTTTGTTTATTTCTGCTACAATCTTTATTTTTTCCTTTCTACCAATGTTTTCTTATTGTACAGATACCACCTATATGTATAGATGTTTAGATGGGTGGTGAACTTAAGACACTTCTTCCAGATGTTCGTCTATAAACTTATCTCTCCCTACTGCTTTTTGCACATCCCATAAGTTTTGCCGTGTTGCTTTTTTTTTTTTTTTTTCATTTTTTCATTTGTTTCAAGATATATTCTAGTTTCCCTTTTGATTTCTTTTTTGACTCATTCATTCTGGAGTGTATTGTTTGATTTTTCTATATATTTGTGAATTCTCCAGTTTTCCTTAATACACTTGACTTTCAGTTTCATTGTGTTGTGGTTTGAAAAGAGAATTGGTATGATTTTGATCTTGTGTTCTCACATGTTATGTACTTTTAGTATTGGAACTTTTAATATATTAATCATAGTTGTCTTAAATTATTTATCTGAAAATTCTAGCATGTTTATGATGTCTGCATTTGATTCTGATGCTTGCTCATTTTAGGGTAAGGTCCAGAAAAAAAAAAAAAAAAAAATCCCCAGCTCTAGTACCAGGAAACTGTTTTAGGAAAATGAGCTGCTGTTTTCAAGTCCATCTCCAAGCTTGGGAATAGGGCTCTCTTACCAATATTCTGTGTTTGTAAATCTTTATTCAGCATTCCCCTGGGTCTTTAAAACTTTGGAAAATTGTAGTAAAATAAACATAGCATTAAATTTGTCATTGTAACCATTTTAAGTATACACCATTAAGTTCATAATACCTGCCTATAGTTATGGCCTCTGATAGACCCAGCCTGATTTTCTCTTAAAATTGGGAGCCATCTAGCCACAAAGCCATGAAAAGCTAATTTCGGCTTTACTATAAATTACTGCAAATTTTGAACTGCAATGCCTGCCCATGCCTTGAACTCACCCATGCCTGGCTATCTGACCAGATAGCAGCCCTCTCTGAAACTTTAGTGAAGCCTCATCACTCTTGGCCTTCCCTGGCCAGATAAGGACCCTCTCTGAGGCTCTAATGACCTTCATAAATTCTGATGTCAGGACCAGCAAAAATATAAACTAACAGAGTTCTGTTATCTGTAACCCGCTTTGTGTAACTTTCTGGGCTATAAAACTGGGCTGCTAGAAACCTGCAGGGCTGTCTTGTTCCTGGGGTTTTGGGTGGGAGAGGCAGCCCAGCCAGTCGAAATAATAAGCTTGCTTTAATTTGATTTTAATTGGAGTCATTGGTGTTTTCTTGGGTCCTGGTCTAACAGCCTCATTTTATACCCAGAAGTTACACAGCGGAGCAGTAGTGGAAGTCATGTCTTCTGATTTATTTAGGTTATTCACTAAACCATTGTAGTTTTTTTTTTTTTTTTCTTCTTTCTTTTAGACTCACTGACCAATGTGGAAAATTAACCTAAAAACATCTTTGGAACAGATGTTAATACAGATAGCCCCTTTGTGGATGAACAGGTAAAGGCTGAACCACTATGTAAAATGTATAAGTAGCTGAGAGTTTTTTTCTTCTTTTTTTTTCTTTATTTTTGTGTGTGTGTAGACCCAGACATTGAACCCAGGGCCTTGCACATGCCAGGTTAAGTGCTCTATCACTGATTCCCATCCCCAGCCCTTGCTGGGGGATATTTTTAAAGAAATAGAATATAGTATAAATGATAAAATGGTAGAATTCTCGTGATAGAAAGGATATTCTACAAGTCAGCTAGTCAGAAACTCTTTGTAGATATGGACATGGAAGGGGTTAATATACAAACGATTCAAATATCTAAAATATAGAAGTCCTATAATTTGACAAATATGCCTATTCCCATTGCTCTCTGGATCATTGAGGCTCTTTGTTTCCCACATTTTTTGGTCTTATAGGTGCTTCTTGGTGTCCTTGACCAAAGTAACTGAACATGTAAGAAATAAGACCTCAAATCATAACCCTGTAGGATGATCAGAGTATTTTAAAAATTAGAAGAGTTTAGGTAATCAGTGTGGTGAGTAAGGGACAGTGAATTAGACATTGTCACAAGTTAATAAAAGTTTCAAAACCAGAACATTTTATTTAACAGTGAACAGACAGTTCAAACAGTTGAAACAGTTTTCCAGTTCTTATAAGTTTGCATAATAAGGGTTACTTAGGATTGCTTTTGGGTGCTCATCCTGTCTGAGCAACATTTTTCAAGCTTCTAAACAAAAGATCTGACAGAAGTGGTCTTACACACCTGTTGGCCAGCCCAGGTGTCTTGGTTTCACTTTAAAGAATGTAGATGAAGCCATTTCCTTTAAAAAGGGTTTGTTGGGCAGCTTCATTAACATTATAAAAGCAGGTGAGGGGAACGGTTTTTTTTTTTTTTTCTTTTTCTTATTTAATGAGTTGTGCTCAGGAATGCAGGAACTGTGGAAGGAAGGTGTTTATTTGCTTTTCTCTTTCCACATTCCTGTAGCTGTCCCCCACCCCCCACCTAAAGAGAGAAGTGTTGCTGAGTCAGGCTGATGCCACACTTTAAAAGTGAGCATTATTACTATTTCAGCTGTATCTAACTAAAAATGTACATAGTCAAAGCTAGAAAATGTCACTCCCAAATTCCTTTTAATATTGCTCCCTCCACCATTTATCTATTTCCTTTTCCCTTTATGGGTATCAGTGCTGACTTGCCATGTAAACACTGCTTAGATGTTTTGAAAGTATGAACAATAAAGTCCACCTCCTTTACAGCAAATTTTGGTTAAGGAAACCATCAGGGGTCACATTAATTCATTGAGGCCAGGAGCTAGTCATGCTCCCAAGCCAATTCAGAACAAATGGAGGCTGCCCTTAGACACAGGTTTGACCTTTTCCTTCACTCTTCCTCCTGTCCCACCCTCTGTGAGTGATTTAAAAATGGAAAAGGCCAAAACCTAGCCAGGCATGCATTTAGAGGATTATTTGTTGTTTTTATTTTTGGTCTTTTTCCTCCATTTTTTTTCCCAATTTTTATTGTTCTTAAAACTTAAGCAAGCCTAGTAAAAATTTAAGCTCTTCTCATCTACTGACAATATTCTGCCATAACAAGCCCTTCCTGAGTATGGAGAACTGCTCCAGGAAAAATCATGTCTCCATCTACATTTTACTCATGTGCTAACTGAGGACTCTTTCTGAAAGAAATCTATTAGGGGATGTACATGCATGAGCATGTTAGGGGTAAAGATTTGAAAACAGACAAATTCATTCAAAAGCAGTTGTGACATAAGTCTGGGTGGTTCCCCAAGGTGTAGATAACAATGAGACTGGGGTTTGGGAATTAGTTGGCTCTCATCTCTCCTCAGTAGTGGTCATAATCATTTTACATGAGGCATGGGCATGGAAAATGAAGTAGCTTCTATATTGGAGGATACCAGCAACTTAAGGAATAAGCTCATTAACAGAACCCAGCTACCTGCTCATCATAGTGGCCAGAATGGTAGAAGAGGTGTTGGGGAGGAATAAAACTACTCAATGTTATTTATTTGGGGACTTAGCCATGCCCTTAACCAGAAAACATGCCAGAAGCAAAGTTTAAGAAATCCTCTGGAAAGGCAAGCATCTTGTTTAATGTCTGGGCCAACCTAAGGACCTTACATCCAATAGGTGCCCATATATACCTGTAGAATGGATAAACAAATGAGGAAAATGAATCAATATTGATTGTCCATTCTCGAAAAGAATTCACAGTCTTTCAGTCAACCTCTTTTTTGTTTTCTGAGATTTAACATAGTGGCTTGACAAAATAGATACTTCTGTTTGATACAAAGAGTTATCAGTTCCTTTATGGTTTTTTTTATTGTGCCTCCAAATCACATTAAGTGTGTTTTGGAACACATCTATTTCATTTAGTATTTTAGCATCATCTTCAGTGATATGTCTGAATGAAAAAACAGAAAGCCCATAATAAAGCCCATAATAATAAAGTGTTATTCCCTCTGTACCAAGCATGCCAATGAGAAGTTAATCTACTTAGTTGTTCCTTCTCAGTGTCTTTCATATCACAACTGTTTGATAAGTTTTTTTCAAGTAAAAAAGAACTGTAGTCTCTTATTAAATGTGTTCTTGTGTTTCCACTATATACTGTTGAGATAAAGAGTGCATTTTAGTTTAGGTGTTTAAAAATGTCCTCGTTCTACTGAGCACTTAAAAACAATACTTTATTCAGTTTTAATACATTTTTGCTAAATATGGTAAATGTGAAAATCCTTTTTTATTGCTCACGTGTCTTCCTGTTTCTAAGCCAAGCAATGAGTAAATATTTCTAAAAACCATTGTTTTCATTTTTATTCTCCTTTTGAATCACTTAAACAAACATAGAATGTTTTCTATAATTAATTAATTCATTAAGTTCAAACTGTGAGCCCTTTTATCAGTCTTCAGGCTTTAAAGGAGGTCGACAAGCCAGTGTCTTTGGCTCTTTCCCAGAAGTAGGAAAAATGTCTTTATTTTATTTCATGTTACATTGAAGGAATCTTGCCCTTTTTTTCTGTGTTTTCTCAAATCTCCAAGGCAAGTTAATGGGTTTTCTGAGCCAGACCTCCTTACTAATTCATTGAGCACAATGCCTTGCAGTGATCAGGCACTGAAATATTATTTATTTAATAATCAAATCAAAGAGGTGTTGTCTGTCTGGTGCTGTGATCAGTGACCTAATGTCCTTTAGACTAGGTCCATTTCACTTCACTTATCTTTTGGACCTAGAGTGGCACATTCCACATAAAAGATGCTTTACTCGTCAGATTAATTAGACAGGTAAGCCATTTTCTTTCACTCCTTTACTTTCTCTGAGCCAGGCCAGGGTGGTTCTAATTCATGTCCATCATCAGCATTCAATCAATATTTAAGAAACTGGGTGGAAAAATCACATACCTTGCTTTTCAGGAAATGTTTTCCCACCTTTTCCACTGAACCAGGTGGTAAGTGTAGATGGGATTTTACCCCTCTACTTAGCTCAGCATTTAGCATACTGCCTTATACAAATCTATTTTCTCCATTTTCATCATTGTATAAGCTTAGTAGTGAGTGGTTACATGACCCTTTGATCTGAATATCACATTTGTTATTTCATTTTCTCCTGTGAGTACTCCATAATGATAAAATGATTTTGCTATTCTAAGGGATACGTTTCTGAACCTCACAGAAAGTAATCACTGATTACTGATTAAGCCAACATTTAACTCCTCTCTGTAGAGAGCTGTAGGCTTTATAAATATATACACAGATCTCTGTACAGGTTCATTAATAAAGATAATGAATTTTTGTACCCCACTTGCTATCTCTGGGCATAAAACAAATAAGCAATATAATCATTATTAATTCAAAAGATATTGCTTATGCATGTTTGGCAGTTTAAAAATTATAAATTCAGACTATACATAATTTCTTCTGCTACCAAGGACAGAATAAAGATGGTATATCTTTGCATCTCAGTGCCAAGCAAGAACACTGGAACCTAACAGATGATTACCATCCATTCTTGCATTCATCAGGCATTGAATGCCTTACATATGATGTTAAGTGTTAAATAACTAACAGTCCTTGGATTTTGAAAATGTATTAGCATAGTATAATAACTGAATTATAAACTTGGCATGGAGCACCAAATTGGAAAATTAATAGCTATACTTATATGGTGCTTTAGAGTTCACAAAATGCCAACATATTTCCTTATTCTCAGCTCTGGGCACAATGAAATATGGTAAATCTTTCTTCGGTGCCCATAACAGTGGATAAGATAGTAGACAATTGATGTTTATTCACTATTTCATTATTTAAACCCTTGGTTGTATAAGTATATTTTTAAGCCAGGGTCTCACTGTGTTGCTCAGGCTGGCCTTGAGTGCCTGGGTTTAAGTGATCCACCTGTTTTAGGCTCCTGAATGCTGGTACTAAAGGAACATGCCACCTGGCCTGGGTTTTATAATTATACCACCCTTCTCATTGTGGGTCAAGCATACACAATGAGAATTTTGTAAAGACAATGCTTATTTTATAAATAAGTTGTTTCATTCATATAGAAACCATCTATTGTCTTCTTTTCAGAGTGCTTTATAGTTTAAAGAATGCACTCATATTCATTAGCCTTTCCTCTAACCTGGGAAAATAGACTGGCATTAGTTTAAGATGACCTCAATAGTAAATTAAGTATCATCTCATTTCTCATACTTGAATAGCATAGAGCATTAATGTTCCCCTTATTACATGTGAGAATTAATCATGGATACCATGGACCGAAAACAATAGCTAGTATGGAAGAGGCAGTTCATATTCATAAACAGGTAGCCTATTAATATTTGCATAGTGCTTCAGTTTACAGAGGAGTTTAATATGCACTTCCTTTATGAAAATTTTAGTTCAGCGAAAATATATTTTGTCCTACTTTGGTATCTTTGATACAAAGAGTTATCCGTTCATTTATAGTTTTTTTTATTACACCTCCAAATCACATTAAGTGTGTTTTGGAACACAACTAGAGTTCTTGGTACATTTTAGGTAAGGACAATTTCTTGGTACTGGGGATTGAATCCAGGGTCACTTAAGCACTGAGCCACATCCCCAGCCGTTTTTATTTATTTATTTGTCCATCTGTCTATTTATTTATTTAGGGACAGGGTCTCAGTTGCTAAGGCTGGCTTTGAACTTGTAATCTTCCTGCCTCAGCCTTCTGAGCCACTGGGATCATCACCTGGTTGGTGATGACAATTTATTAATCACTTGTATTTGGAGTATATTTTGTAGATTAAGAGGAGTTTCCGTGTTTTTTCTGTTCTCTGAAGTACTGTATTTTTATTCAGAATCATCAAAGCAGTGGAAACACATTGACCTGATATTCAAATTATTCGTTTATTGAAAACTTATTATGTCTACGTAGTATTATTGTATTCTTTTGACAAAGCACTTGTTTATTCATCCCCAGCTTTTCTTTTTATTTTGAGACAGGGTCTCACTAAGTTGCTGAGGCTGGCCTGGAACTTATGATCCACCTGTCTCAGCGTCCTAAAGAGCTGGGATTACAGGTATAAGCCACCGTTCCTGGTTTCTTTTAATCTTTGTATCTACGGTGCATCTCATGTAGAATGCATATAATAAGTAATGAACATTAATTCATCAACACGGAAACTTAAAGTTCTCATGTGCTTAATAGTTTACAAGGCACATTCTTATTTTTTTCTTCATGTCACCTGGATGTGATCATGAATAAGCCCCTGCATACTTAGTAGCACAGGGATAGGCATAGAGAAGGAAATTAATATTATTCAGACATATTCTCAGGCATTTGCATCAGAAATTGGTAAACTATGGGCTAGCAGGCCAAATCCACTTGACCTGCAAGCTAAGAATGGTTCTTACATTTTAAGGAATATAGAAGAGGCCCATGAAATCTAAAATATTAGAAAAATCATAATGACCCCTGATTTACACAGTGCTTTACCACTTAACATTGTACTTTGAAATATCAGCTGTGCATGATTGCCAGTCCATTATGAATGCATACATGTTCCTTTTTTGTCTTGTGAATTACAGTGCATTCGTATGTATTATCAATCATTTAAATCAGTTTACCTCATAAAAGGGAGAGGGGTCAAGGAGAAGATTAAATAGTTCCAAATTCTCTCATCTTTAAGACTAGAGATATAGGTCAAACCCAGGAGTAGGTTTGACAGAGTCCACCAAATTCTTTGGCCACTACTATGAGTAGGGAGTTCAGATCTCACTCTGTCTCAGGCCTAATCACCCCTTTCGAAGATATTACTAGAAATTCCAAACCCCAGGAATCCTGCTCACCCAAGGTCAAAGCAGGAAGGTGATGCTGGCTGGTAGTTCTCAGAAGGCTGTCACATCTGGGTGTCCTCTCTAAATAGCCTTGCAGTTTCTCTCCCTTTTCTCATCAAACTAAGGCTTCTGAGTTAAGGAGAACTGAAATATAGTGTCCATATGGAAGCTTTCTACTGAATGATGTAACAAAAGGCAGACTACATATTGACTGGAAGTAGATGTGAAGAGAAATGGAGGTTTAAATCTTAATGAATGGCTTCAAAATGGCCTCAAGATTGGCCTCTGCATAATACTGTCACTCTAAAGATATGTTCCTTTAAGGTAAATGGCAACATCAAAAAGTACATCTCAAAAGAATCAGGCTTTCATGCAAATAAGATATCTGGAAGGGGATTATTGAAAATGTCCCAATAGTGGGCAGAATAGCAATAGAAAAAGATTTGTGGTTTAGGGTCCTCATCTTGGTATTTCCCCAGTGTTGAGGTTTCTGTCCTTCCTGAGTTCCAGATCAGAAACCTGGAACCTCCAGTTTCCAGGTTTTATTCTTGAGGGATCTGTTTCTCTTAGGCCTTCCGTCCATGTAAGGAGGCTTGAATCCTTGCTCTTATTTGGGTGTGGGGTCTTCCACCCGTGGGTCTTAAATCCTCAAACCTAAGACCTTGGTCTTATGTCAGACTTGAGACTTCCATCTATCTTGAGACATGGGCTTTTCATCTTAGTCCTGAGTCTCAAGTTTCAAACCACCTGTCTTCCACTTTGGGGCTTCTACCTTTTGTCCATCTTAGGTTTTGGGTTTTAACTTCAATCTGGATTCCAGGACCATATTTTGGTATTGGATCATCTCACAGGGCAGCTTGGCACAAGGAACAGCTCTGCAATGCTGATTTTGATAGCTGACATTCTGAACCTATTGGGAAAGGGTTAGGAAGCCCCTCTGCCACACATAGGAAGCATGCACACATATGCACATAGCCCGTATACACAAAGAAATAGCCAAGAGAGGATTACATGAAGTCAGAGAGAGGGAAACATAGACTCACAAAGAGGCTGAAATACTCAAAAGATGAAAAAGATGAGTAGAAAAGGAAAAAGTAGAGAGGACACACAAGCAAACAGAGTAATGCTGAAATAGAAAATCACAAACAAAGAGACACTGAGGTATACACAGGAGCGAAAAGGGAGAAAATAGCACTAGAGAGGCAGAGAGGAAATATAACAAAGAGAAATGTGAGATAAGGAGCAGAATGGACACCAGAATCAGAAAAAGGTGAATTGTCCAACTTACAAAAAGGAGAGAAAGTAACAAATACCAAGTGCACCAAGACAAAAAGACAAATACATAGTGCACCAAGACAAAAAGCAAGGTAGGCACAATAAGAAAAGGGCAAAAAAGCACAAAGCATATGACCTCAAAGAGGAAAAAAGGAAGAAAAGAAAGAGAGAGAGAGATAGATCTAGGAGAGCGAAGAGCAATAGCAAGCAAACAAAAACTAGAGAGATCCATTTAAGACAGTGCATAGACCACACTTAGGAACAAAAAAAGAAAGTGAGACAAGGCACACACAGAAGAAATTAGCAAGAGAAACATGGAGCTGATTCAGACACAACTCGAGTTAGAGAAGAAAGAGCAAGGAAGAAATAGACAAGCAAAGAAATGCACACTTAGGAGCGAAAGAGATAAACAAAGGCAGACCATCACAGGAGGAGACTAAGAAGGACTAGAGACGAGACACAGCGAGGGACACAAGAGGCACAAAATTTAAAAAAAAAAGGGGAAAGGTGCTGTTAATTATGAAAAGCAATTCTTTGTACCAGTGCTACTTATATTACTACTAACAATAATAATAAGTCTGTTAGTTTAAGGATTTCTTACATAGAACCAAAACATGCCAACTCTGCCTGTCCACAGAGTGCTAGTGGTCATTTATATTGTGTAAAAGGAATCTGTGAAACTATTGGCATTAATTTTTATTTGCCATCGGCCCGTCATTGTACTCTAAGTACTTCACATTCATAATTTCTTTAACCCTGGCAAACAGAGAAATCTAATCAAAGACTCTCAATTGCCAGTGGTCATACTCTTAAAGAAGTAGCAGAAAGGACTTAAACAGAATGTCCCTCTTAACATTCTGCTACAATTAACTATTTGCTAAGATTTCCCTAAGAACCAAAGAAGATGTCACATATGAGTGAATATTTTCATAAAGGGCCCTTGGATAGCGCAGAATCCTTTCATTTTATAGCTTCACCTTTCCCCATCCATTTAGAAAACAGGCTTCTCATATCCTTCACAATGACAATAGATGCTTCCAAATCTGTCTTTTTCTTTTATTTTTTTCTTTTCCTTTGGTATTAGGGATTGAACCCAGGAACGCTTAATCACTGAGCTACATCCCCTTTTTGTTTTGAGACAAGGTCTCCTTTAGTTGGTGAGGCTGGCTTACAACTTAAGATTCTCCTGCCTCAGCCTCCAGGGCCACTGGACTTATAGGCGTGGGACACTGCATGTTACCCAAGTTTCTCTTTAGACTAAATCTTAACTCAGATTCTCTCCCAAATGGAAATGAGAAAGTGCCAAGCTTTCATCAGAAAGCATTACCTGTCTTTTAGGCTTTTCAATATTTAAACCTTTAAGAATGGCAGAACATTGAAGATATACAATAAGGCAAGTAGAGGCTAAATCCCCCTCTGTGATCCAACTGGTAAGTAGTTAACAGTGAATTCAGTTGGTAATATAGGACACTGGTCATCTTCCCATCTCAGATTCGGCCCAATATGAATTCCCTGCAAACAGCCGTTCATTCTGGGGCAATACTTACAGGATTGCAACCCCAACAGCTTGCTTACTTCTGCTATTCTGAAATGCTAGTGTCAGGCATGTTGATCTTCAGGTAGAAAACTTGGCTCCCTTTGATGTGTTCTCATTTCTTAATCCTGATGATGATCCAGCTCTCTGTACTGCTTTTGGGAAGGATAATGGTTTGTCAGATATTATCAATCGAGAGCTAAAAAAAAGAGAGAGAGAAAGAGACCATGTAAATGTCATAGAAGAAGCATAACTGTGCTACAATTATGGAAGATTCATATTTGTGAACTATAAAAAATGTATTCACAGAGTTTAGAAACTCATGAAGTTTAAGCTTTTAGGCCCTTTAGGACAAAACTAATACAGAAGAGGAAATGGGAAAATGTCTTGTTCACCATCACTTTATGAGTCATTGGAGACACAATCATTAGTCATAGCCTTGTCTCTTTAATTGAAGACTAGAATCCTGTTTAGAATGAGAATCAGCTAGGAAGGTGTCCCTTCCAATGATTCATTACTAAGATCACAAAAAGATAGAGATAAAAAGAGAATAGGGTCTAAAAATTGAAGGGCCAAATTAGTTGTGTTAAAGTATCTTGGCTCAGGACTACCAATACAAAGCAATAGAGCAATATTTCAAAAACTCATATGACATTGATCTCTGAGATAAAGATGAGTCACTCTGGGACTCACACTCTCCCAATAAAAAAGATGAGTATAGGGTACTGGCCCTAAGGATTCTGAGTGTAATAGATACATCTTCCTAGGCTTTCTAACAAGTTGCTAGTAACTTTCTCTATTTCTAAATCCTTGGGTTTTTCTACTCAATTATAACATTTCAAGGGCTCCTTCCATGAAAACATCTCATTGAATTTATAGGGTACCCACTGTTTATGAATAATGCTGGACAACGCCTCTACCATTAGGATTACTGTACTGAATGGTGACCTTCATCTCCCAACCCTTCCCCTTAAACCTTCCTATCCATCTACTGACCTAGAGAGTGTAGGGTCCTGGTTCTGTAGATGCTGCCCAATGTGAGATAACCCTATACCATTTTTGGTCAGGTTTCCAGTTGTACTTATGAGTCTTCTGCCAATCCGCATGCATAGCATACAGAGATACAGTTCTCTTTTATCTTCTCAAACCACTGATTGTGTGTTACATCCCATGGATATCCCAAGGCATCTTGAAGTCTGTGAATGCCTGGCACAGTTCCCCTGTAAAGCTTCAAAGGAGATTTTGAGGACCACATGGAACAGAATGATTTGCTTATGAGATCAGTGTTGTTGCAGTGGTAGTTGCTGTCCATGTTCTCCTAAAAGAAAGACCAATTTGAAAATTTAATTGTAGGCCTCTTCCACATCCTGCAGTTCTATCCTAAACTGGTTCATGCAGCATGGTAACTTCTTCACCTCATTACTTTCACCAGTCTGACACACTGTTGCCTCCCGGGTTAGTTAGGAAGCTGTTTGTACCAAAGCAGGAAAATGAATACAACTTCTGTGAAAAGCTAACTTCACTGTTTTTGAGAAAAACAAGATCAAAATTAAGAATATTATGCTTTGAGGGATAGCTTACCCATCTTGATGTGCGGTGGTTGTCTTTGAGTCTTCACCCTCCTATCTGGACCCAGGAAAGAATCTTAGTAAAATCTCCTGACCCAGGGTTGTTGCCCAGTGGCAGTGAACTTTTCCCCTGGAGGATCCTCATGCCCCATCTCCACCTGGGGATCGTCAAAGGGAAAAGGTCACTAACACTGCAAAGCAACAAGCCTGTTCTTCTGAGGAACATCTAGAGAAGAAAAAAAAGAAATTATTAAAATCAAGTAGACTGAGAAAGTCTGTCCTGATTGATAACTAGCAACTGAGTTAAACCATGTCTACCCTTTTCTTTGTACAGATTGAAGGATGAACACTTCCAGCTGTTTAGAGCTCTTTATCTCCCTGGGTTGATCAGTCTAGCAGCATGAGAATTGTTCTATTTATCCCAACACTATTCTGCATACTTCCCCTCATTTCCAAGAGCAATCTAGAGCTGAATAATTATAAAATTCACAGACTCTGCTTTATTCTCTAGTGTCTACTAATGAGCAATCCTCTGGAATGTGAGTGGTAAATGCTCTTGTTTGTGTTCTCATTGGAAATATAATGGAGGTCAAGAAATTTAAAAGTTGAAACCACTGGAAGGAGAAGCCAAGGCTTTCTCAACCAAGAGATGAAGCCACTTAGATAAGGCACTATTATTAAGATTGAGTAACCCACACCTATCAAAGTGCCTGCCTATCTTCTAGCTTTGCAATGTTCACCTCTTTTAAGAAACCCCCAGCTTCTTAAAAGGAGGGTGTGGCAGTGACAAGGGAATCAAATAGGCCTGCTGGGGAACAGATCTGATACAGATCAAATTGATCCTATTCATAGGCAACTCCTGAGAATTTAACACTGGTTGGCCCAAAGGAAGATGGGAATAATTCAAAAGCCTTTTAATAATAATTTAATTTTAATAATAATTTAAAGGCCTTTTAATCTGAAGGCATCTACCTCATTGGCCAACTAGGAGCTGATGAAAAGTGGCTCCTGTGCCGTTTTTTATACAAAGAGCTGCAGAAAGTGAAAGCCCTTAAACCCGAAGCAGAAATCTACCAATGATAAATTCCCCTAACTACCTTTTTCTTCAGGTGGCCTGCAAGCTCTCTGCCCAGGTTACCTGGTGCTTGTCCAGACTCTCAAAAGGGAAGGTCTGCTGAATGTGTAGCTTCTTTAAGCTGCTTGCAGTCCTCAAATCTCACATGCTCTGAATGTCCTTGAGAAGAAAGAAAGGGCTCAGTAGGCTACCAAAACTGGTTTTAAGTAAAAAAGGCAGGGGTGGGGGGACTAGGAAGTATAACATGAAGCATTAGACATACCTATCTGTACTTTCTAGTACCCCACTAATGAGAGTAGGATTAATGGATCCCAGCTGAAATTCATTTATGCACTATGTACTTATGGTTTCTGGAAGGAAACAAATATTGGTTTCCTCCCATATTCTGACTTTCTCCCTCACTGCAGTACAACTAGTAGGTTATTATTAGCACTATCATGTCTAAAATACCTTGCTGTTTTGTTGGGTTGCCAATGTAGTACCGCTTGAGCATCAAAGCCCCCTTGTTTTGTTTGTTACTATAGTAATGACAGTTCAGGACCATTCCCTTCCCCGTAAGGGGGAATGTGAGGCCAGAGAAAGTGGTTACATTCTGGAACTGGTACAGAACTAAACATTTCACTAGGGTTCAATATTCATTGATGAGAATTTTGAGACTCCTCTGTTATCTTCTATGCTCCACAGAACTTCCATAATGATTTGCTCATTTGTGCCTTCTCTTTGGTTTTGTTATTCATTCCAGTGCTTGGCACAATGAATATCTATTAAAATAAAACAAGGATTATCTCAATATTGAGGATGGCTACATTTTTAGAACATCCCTTCTTACAGTTGCTAGAGATTTTTCTTAGGGGCAGAGATTATTTCAAGCAATGAATTGGAATACAACTCCAAGATTTACCTTTCGATGTTCTCTAGCAGTCATCAATGTGGCCATATAAAAGGAGTTATTCTTCCTCTTGAGTCACGTACAGAACCAGCTCCAAATTCATTCCTTTGAAACAAATTCCACTGATAGTTAATTTGATTATTTCCAATTAAAAATATTTCATAAGCCTAGACCAGTGTTTCTCAAATTGGGGTGATAAGAACTCTGGAGTTTGTGGCTATATTCTTTTTTTGGGGCGGTTGTGGCTCTATTCTCATGAATCCCCAAGTTCTGTATGAGTTGTATGAAACATGTTTTTAATAATGGTAAGTTGAAATATGAAAACATGTTTACATTTTAAAGAACTTTCTTAAGTCAGTGTTCCATCAGACACATTCTTTAGGATTTCAGGAAATTTTGCTCCTTTAAGGGCAGGGTGGGGAAGGTTTCCTCATCTAGTACACAAGAACATGGACAAGCATAATCATCCACATAAAAGCCACAAATAGGGGCATTAGAGATAAACACCCCCACTGTACTGCAAAGGGGTCTAAGAGTAAGATCTTATTCATATGGGATGAGCCACATACTGTTATGTACATTAAAGTCAAAGAAGCAGTTATTACAAATATGTACACCTTGACTGTTCAAATATAGGGATCTTCTGCAGTGGGCACTCCCTGCTGAAAGGGAATGGCAGAAACTTCCAGAGTGGCTTCCTGCTCATGGTATTTCTTTCTGAAGCATGGCTTGAGTCTGAGAAACAATGGCAGAGACCATGTTTTAAAAAAAAAAAAAAATCAAGACTATTTTATTATTTACTTACTTATCTGTATGTGTGTGTGTGTATGTATGTTATCCCCAGTCAGCCAGTGTTATTAGGATGGGTGGATGGAGCTCACACACCACAAAAAAAAAAAAAAAGAAAAAAAAAAGAAATCAAATTTTATGTGAAAGAATATATTTTCATTGTGTATAAAGATATATATATACACACACACACACACACATACAAGGTGACTTGAGACGTAGAAAAGAGGCTTATTAGACCCTGACTTTTCTATAGGGTAGCATTTAAGAGAAAGAAAATAGAATAGGGAAATGATTATTTTAATAGATACAAAGCAGTACTTACAGTATTGTAAACAGCCAGAATCTCTTCTTACAGCTGTCCAAAGAGGTCGTAGTGCAAACTGCACTCACACGGGCAGATCTTTTGACATCCTTCTCAGAGTAATAGTATTCTTTATCAGTGACTAGGAGGAACTGCTGTTGTGATGACTAGTTATTTGCTTCAAAAGTTTCATATTAATATATTTAGTCACCACTCTGTATACTAGAGGCTGGGATATTGTTTTTACTAGGCAGCCATCTCATTGTTGAAGTTTATGCTCAGAAAAATGATTAGATCTTGGCTTATTTTTCTTGTAAGATGGGGAAACAGGGCCCCTCACTCTAGGGTGCTTTTTCAAACTACTTTAAATTACTAGCAGAATTAAACAGTGCATTTTATATAATAATCTAATGAGGTGGCCTTTAATTTTCAAAAGCTCCTCAGCACATGTCCTCTTATTTAATCCTTCTATGGCAATCCTGAGCTGGTGCTCAAGATGAAGAAATTTAAGAATTAGAAGGCTTAGGTAGTTTTCGTAAAAGTGCGTGGTGCTAAAGCCCAAAGATTGGCTTAAAATGGTAGTAAGAAAGATACTGGTCTTAAGAGTTGTATTCTGGTACTCCTTTTTAAATACTAAAATAGCAAGAGTCAAAGTGGTCTCTCCACAGACTCATCACTCTGAGTAAAATGAGAGACACTGATCTTTGGGTACATCGTATAAGTGGATTCTTGTCTTCAAAATAATTAAGGGCCAGGTAATCAATTCCACCTTGCAATTCCAAATGTCTGTCTTTAAATTTTTTTTTAAGAAAATTAACAGCAACTTTCTGATCATATCTTGGCAATTAGCATTGTACAACTGCCACATAAAAAAGAGAATATGGGTGTTGTTGGGGTTTTTTTGTTGTTGTTTTCTGGTTTGTTTGCTTTGTTTTGCAATGCTGGGGATTGAACCCCAGGGGTACTCTACCACTGAGCTATATCCCAGCCCTTTTTATTGATTTTTTTTTTTTTTTTAATTCTGAAATAGGGTCTCACTAAGTTGTCCAGGCTGGCCTGGAATTTTCAATCTTCCTGCCTCAGCCTCTTGCATCGCTGGGATTACAGGCATGTGCCACTGCTCCCAGCAAGGAGATTTATTAACCAGGAAATTTGCTCTGGAAGGAAGAATGTAGAGCAATGTTAATCTTCCTTCCTAGGGAGACAATTTTCAATTATTACTATATAATGAAAACCCTATATCAAGAGTGGCAATCCAGCTCCCTGAGCCTGATTTTTCTTGAATATTTTACACAGTAAAGAAGTAACAAAGATGGGCAGGAGGGGTTCTTATCCCCAGAATGTGCCCATAATTGGAATTGTGATAATTAACAAATGCTGGGGCCGGGGGAGGTGAAGGCTCATCCACCTAGTTCAGGCCTGATTTTAATAGTTAGTGCTGCACAAATGTATCAAATGGTAGCAAGATCTTGGACTGATGGGGAGAAAATTGGGACAATCAGTCCTGTGTTCTTTAAGGACACAGAAGGGACATTGGATAATTAGCACTACTCAGAAGCAATGCAAAGGAAGTGGGAGGGCTCCGGGTCTAATGGGCAGGACCAAGGAAATTGCAACTGAAGTGGGTAGGCCAAGGATATCTGGGATTGTTAAGAGAGAGGGCCTTGCCCAGTCAACATTACTCAGTAAAGAAGTGAACTGGGCAGAGGAGGGTAATGGGGAGAAAGGGAGCACAATCTTATCTAAGGGCTGGACTGTGAGCATTAGTAGTCCATAAGATGGGTCTAGGGGCAGACAGGAGGCGGGGCTTGTATGAAGAGTAAGTCCATGGTTACTTGGTATTTCATGTTTTAAGGTAACAGGAGTGGAAGTATGGGCCATTCACTGTTTGATGTATAAGTACATGGCATACTGTGATGTTTATACTTTATTATGCTATGGGTCACTGGGATCAGGGTGCTTGCTTAACAAGGCCAGGGAGGAAATATAACTAGTGACGATTGCCATTGTGCTTCTTAACAGTCCCCAGATAAGTTTCAGGGAAGGAAAAAAAAAACATTAATAATTTCCATTGTGCCCATAACAGTCTCAGTAGACATATTGGGTGGTCAGCAGCCCCCTGCAGTAATGCAAAGGGGGTGTAAGAACATAGGATTCTACCCGTGTATAATTGCAAATATTCACATTGAGGGTCCAAAGGACCTTAGTTGGTCAGCACCACTGATGTATATAATGATGGTGCCGTGGTCTTACCTAATAATCAGTACTTTCTCTATTATTATTATTGTTGTTGTTGTTGTTGATGTTTTTGTTATCATTGCACATTTAATTATGCAAGACTTAGTTATGAACAGTATGCCTCAGCAGCAATCAGAAGGTAGTAATAAGAACTTAAGGTCCTTTCTACTACACAAGTCCGCAAACAGACATAATTATGTACGTTAATATTTGCAAGAGAAGAGCTCATTCATAGTAAATGTCTCCCTGATGCAAAGGGGATATGAGGAGATGAAATCCTAGTATTAACATACGCTGAGGTCCAGATGAAGTGGGACTGAATAAAAGTATCTCTCTGCTCTAAAGCAAGGAGAGCACAAGGGTTCTACATAAGACTGCATAGATAGAGCATTTTCTTTGTGCATGGGAACTTTCTAAGACAGAGTCAAGTAGTGGATACTTGCTTTTGGCTAAAAGTGCCAAGGAAGTATGTGGGATCCCTTTCTAGTGCACAGAACAGTAGCAAATGCAATTATACATATTAAAGGTCCAAAAGAAAAGGACCTTGCTTGATCAGCAGGCCCTTCTGTACTGCAAAGGATAGGTAAATGGGTCTACAAAGACAAAAAATAAAATTCAATTACGTCTATTAATGGTCCACTAGGAGGCGCAGTGGAGTATCCCCTTAAAAAGAGCAAAGGGAGTACAATGGTCCTAGATGTAATAGGGTTGTGGACAACTGCATGTATGCCCATTAACTGTCCAGGTGTAGAGGTCTTAAGCAGTGGGTATCACTTATTAAAAGGCCGAGAAGTCAGAGGTTGAGGTATCCTTCTCTAGTGCCCAAGAACCCAGTATAATGCAATTCTGTGTATTAACAGGCCAAGAAAGGAGACCCCAGAGGTCAGAAACTTTGGTATATGCAAATTGATGGTATAAGAGTAGGACCTTTGTTAAATATGATGAACCATGCCACAATTATGTATATTAATGCCCAAGGGACGTAGTTGTGATAAATCAAAACTACATACTTTACACAAAGATTTTAAAGTAATAGACACTCCTTCCTGATAAGCAAAGAGACTGAGGGGAAGACTGTCCAGTAACATGAGGAAGCCAGGAGGAGAAGTCTCAGTGATCAGTACTACTGCTCTACTGCAAGAGGGTCTGAGAGTAGGATCTTATTCAAATGGGATGAGCCAAGTGCAGTTATGCACATTAATGTCAAAGGTGCAGGACTGCTTAGTATAATTGTGCACCTTGATTCTCCACATCTAAGGGTATTATGGAGTGGCCACTCCCTGTTAGCAGGAAAAGGCAGGTGGAAGGGAAAGGAGGGATAGGCAGGGAAGGTAAAGTTGGTTCCCTTGTGTAATTCACAGGAATCTAGACAAGTATAAACACCCACAAAGCAGGCCAAGAATAAAGGCCTTGGAAATCAGCACCCCTGCTCTATGACAAAAAGTGTCTGAGAGTAGAATATTCTTTATACCTTTATTTATTGTGTGGCGCTGAGGATTGAACCTAGTGCCTCACATGTGCTAGGCAAGCACTGTGCCACTGAGCTACACGCCCAGCCCAACAGAGTAGGAACTGTTGGGAGAAGGTTTGTCTGGGACACAGAAACCCAGAGAAATATCACCCATATAACAGGCCAAGAATAGGGGCCTTAGAGACCAGCACCCCTTGCTGTATTGCAAAAGGCGTCTGAGAGTATGATCTTATTGAAATGGATAAACCAAGTGTAGTAATATTCATGGTTCAGGTCCATGGTTTGGTTATTACAGTTGTACACCTTGACTGTCCAAATACAAGGATTTTATGGAGTGATCTTCACGAGTGGAAGGAAGATAGAAATTGGGGGAAGAAGGCTTGTCTGGGATACAGAAACCCAGAAAATATCATCACTCATATAACAGGCCAAGGCCCTATATAACAGGCCAAGGCCATATAGGGGCCTTAGAGATCAGCACCCCTTGATTTACTGCAAAAGGGGTCTGAGAGTAGGATCTTATTCAAATGGGATGAACCACATGGAGTTATGCACCTTAATGTCAAAGGTGCATGACTGGTTAGTATAGTTGTGCACCCTGACAGTGCAAATATAAAGATCTTAGGGAGTAGTCATTTCTACTAGAAGGGAAAGGAGGAGGGAGAAGGGCAGAGTGGGGAAGGTTTCCTCATCTAGTATACAAGAACATGGACAAGCATAATCATCCACATAAAAGCCCACAAATAGGGGCATTAGAGATAAACACCCCCACTGTACTGCAAAGGGGTCTAAGAGTAAGATCTTATTCATATGGGATGAGCCACATACTGTTTGTACATTAAAGTCAAAGAAGCAGTTATTACAAATATGTACACCTTGATTGTTCAAATATAGGGATCTTCTGCAGTGGGCACTCCCTGCTGAAAGGGAATGGCAGAAACTTCCAGAGTGGCTTCCTGCTCTAGTCCATAGAAACCTGGACAAATCCAGTTATGCATACCAGCAGGCCACAAAATGGAGCCTTAATGGCCAACATCACTGCTGTACTTAAAGTATAAAAGGGAAGGATCCTAAGGCAATTTTCATTATGTACATTAATAGTTTTTGAAAATGGTCCTCAAGTGAACAGTACCTTATGTAGTAAGCCAAAGAAGGTGTGAAGGGTCACAGAAAGAAAGGTAACTTGAAGGACCATATACATATATCTATAGTCTCAGGACAAGGGCTTTATGTTGGTCAGCACCCTGATCCAAAAGGCACAGTTTTGGACATCTGGGAATGTGTACAGAACAACAAAGACTGTACACATTAACTGTGCTAGTTTAAGGGTCTTATGTAGTAGACACCTCTAGCTGCAATGTAAATAGTATTGGGGTTTTTACCTGGTGCATATTACTGGAACCAAATTAAGTATGAATATTTAATAGCGTAAATCTTGGCTACTTAGAAGCCCCCCCACAGTGATGCCATGAAGCAAAGAAATGGAATCTTACTCTAACATTGGAGGCATAGAATACTGTTAATTATGCCCATTTAAGTAGTATAAAAACACTCCCTGCTGTTATGCCAATGAGGTATAATTGAATAGGGCCCTAGTGCAGTTTTGCTCTTTCATATTCTAACAGAAAGACTTCCGGTCTTCACAGCCCCTGCTATATAATAAATCCCAGAAGTCCAGACTTTAGCTTACTGGAACAGACCAGGATCAACTGGAAATAAATTAGCAGTCCCAAGAAAAGGGTCCTTCCATTCCTTCCTTTAAATATAAAGGAAGTGAGGAATTAAAGGGTGGGGCCATTAGCATTGGAATTTTGCTAATTCATAGTCCTGGCAAAGGTAAAAAATTAACAAGTGACTTTGATCAGAAAGACATAACTGTGGTCAGTTACCATGGTTCACATTATCTATTCTAATGCAAAGGTCTCAAGTTAAGGTAGGTCTTCCACTGCTGAATTCCAGAAATTTGTTCCGTGCACAGGAAGAGGGAAAAACCCATTCACATATATTAACTGTACAAAAGAAAGGGCCTTACTAGTTCCACTCTCTGCCCCAATGCTAATGGGGTGTGAGGAGATGGAATCTTTAGTTTAGGGAACCACAATTTTAATTGTGCACTTTTTCAGTCCAAAGTGGCCCCTGCAGTAATTCAGAGGGAGCCTGAGAGGATGGGATCCCAAATTTACAGAAAACTGCAGTTTTGTATAATACTTTCAGAAGGGGCTTTAGGTAATCAGCACCCTCTTGATTTAAGCAAAGATGGTGCAGAGATCTTAATATCAAAGATTTTGTTATAATCAATTAGGATCCTGCACATAAACTGTCCTAGTACAGAGGTCTTGAGTAGTAAGAATCCCCTGCTGAAATAAAGGGAGTAGACAGAGCTAGTGCACAAATGTAGTGATGGACATCATGGATTGAAGAGAAGAGCACTGGAGGTGAACAGCACATGTTACAGTGTACAAGGAGGACACAGTGGTCCTTTCCAATGGACAAGGCTCTGGAAAACTACAGCTGTGTAAATTAATTAACTGCAAAAGAGCTGCGCTTTTAATAATCTGCCCTTTCTAGCAGTATCCCAGAAAATTGAATGGGATGGGAATCCACTTTCATTGTGCTACACCCCAGATAGACTGTTACTCCTCAGCAGTAATGGCATCAAGAGGGGACATCTTAAACAAACATATAGGAGCAGAGGCAATGATGGTTTTATGTATCTTACCGATCAATGCAATGTATTTGGTAGTCTGCTCAACGAACCAGCAATGAAAAGAGTATAGGTGGCTCTTTTAGGTAAGACCAAGAACAATTATGACCGACCGTACCCATTAATATTCCAAGGAAAGGTGGTTTGAGAATGAGACTGTGACTACTGGGGCAATCTCAACAATATTTTCTCCTTCCTTAACATACAGGACTGAGAAGATGAGGAGTAACTTCAATTATGGGCAATCATTCTCTGATATGAAGCTCTTGATTAATTAATTAACATTTCCCATCTTTATAGGGTCAGGGACTCTTTGTTATGGGACCAGTGGACAAAGGGGACTGGGTGCATCAAGTTCGTGACAGGGGCAGTCAGCACTGAAAATGAATACTGCTGGGGTAGAGGGTCTCAGTCTTAAAATGAATAATGGCGCGCCCAGCTCAATCCATGAAGATGGAGGTTGCTTTACAGCAGAAAGGCTGGGGTTGGGAGATGGAGGTCCTGGGGAAGGGGCAGGGGCAGGGGCTGGGCCTGGGGGGGTGGGGGTTGGGGGGGCTGGGGGTTGGGCCTGGGGGAAGGGGGCTAGGCCTGGGGCTGGGGCAGGGCAGGGCGGGGCGGGGACATGGACAGGGGCTGTGGGGGGTCCGGGGGCTGTGTGGGGTCCGGGGGCTGTGTGGGGTCCGGCCGGAAGGGACTAGGGAGATATGGGGGTCGGCCGGAAGGGAGTTGGGAGATTTGGGGGTTGGGACTTCCTGAGGGCCGGAACTGGGGCGGGGCCTGGGGCTGTATATAGGTTGGGGTTGTGGTGGCCTCACACCAGTCTGCCCGCCAGCTCACAGGCTCGCCAGTTCGCGAGTTCTTTTAAATGGCAGTGGCAATAGGGTAGGACTAGGCAGCAGGGTGGGGACGAGTTGGGTCAGCAGAAAACCACAGAAGATGGAAATGTGGGCATTAATGCTCTAATTTTCTGCCAGATAGTTATTAATTAGTGCAGCATCATGAATGGGAAGAATCAAGGCCTGTCCTAGTGTAGACCTTCTTTTTTGTTTATTTTTTTTTTTAACTTTTTATCACCTGCTTCTGAGGATTGGAAACAGAGGGTCAGAAACTGAGGGCCCAGGGCGGTGCCCTGGAGCCTGGCGAGCAGAGCTTCGAGAGCGCCTGTCTGCCTGTCCCAACTGCCCTGAGCAGATGGCCAAGTAGTCTAACCACGTGCTAGGCATAGTGCTAGGCATACTGTGCTCGGGGAGCGTGCTACTGCTGAGCCCCGGAGAACAAGAGCAAATACTCCTTTTTAACTTTTTTACTATTCTTTTTTTTAGAAAAACAGCAAATTAAAATCTGACTTTGAATCTTTTTAGGAAATTATGATATGAGAACCTGCAAACTCTGAAGAACCTACAATGAAAACTCATTAAAGGTAAGTAAAATGAAATCTACAAATGAAGCCTCTAAATACTCAACTTGTTTTTAACTTTTTAAGGTTTTTACTATTCCTGTCCAATGCGACAAATTTAAGGGAGGGAGTTTTTAAGCTATTGTTTAAAAAAAAACAAATTTTTAAAATGCCAAATAATGTGAGTAAAATGAAATCTACAAATGAAGCCTCTAAATACTCACTTGTTTTAACTTTTTAAGTTTTTTACTATTCCTGTTCAATGCGACAGATTTAAGGGAAGGAGTTTTTAAGCTATTGTTTAAAAAAACAAAACAGCGAATTTTTTAAATGCTAAATAATCTGACTAAAATGAAATCTACAAATGAAATCTTAGTTTATAAGCTATTGTTTTTAAAAAAAAGAAAACAGCAAATATTTTAAATGCCAAATTATCTGGCTTTGAATCTCTTTAGGAAATTATGATATGAGAACTGGCAAACTCTGAAGAACCTACAATGAAAACTCATTAAAAGTAAGTAAAATGAAATTTACAAATGAAGCCTCTAAATACTCACTTCTTTTTTAACTTTTTAATTTTTTTACTATTCCTGTCCAATGCAACAGAATTAAGGGAAGTAGTTTTTAAGCTATTGTTTAAAAAAAACCAGCAAATATTTTAAATGCCAAATAATCTGACTTTGAATCTCTTTAGGAAATTATGATATGAGAACCTGCAAACTCTGAAGAACCTACAATGAAAACTCATGAAAGCTAAGTAAAATGAAATCTACAAATGAAGCCTCTAAATACTCACTTCTTATTTAAATTCAAACACTAGCAAGCCACACAGACTTCTCACTGAAATCAAAATCTGACCCCAGCATTAGCCATGAGGTGTAGTGTTCCTGTTGAGGAATGCAGGGGTTTCTCTTCCAACACTTGTTGCTCAATGACCATCTAAGATCCATTTTGGTCCTTGACCTTGTCCACACCAGACAAACCTGGCCACAGTGCAGGTTAGTTCAGTGGCCAAGGAGTAGATTAGCCTTTGGCCATCACAATAAAACAAGAATTCATCCTGCCCATCCTGATTTCTTTCCAACACTTCAAATGCTGAAATGGAGCCAAAGAGCATAATGTATCTCTCTCATGCTCTTATGTAGAGAGATACACATAAGTGTCCTTGAAAGGTCCACTAGCACAGCCTTTCCAATTCTTTTGCCCAAGTCTAATTCAATCATATGCTTCAATTGGCTGTGTGCAATTAAATTCCACTTGCATTTCCAATTGGTTAGGTCGTGGAGCAATCCAGCACTGCCAAACCATTTTTCTCTCTGGCTTTTGTCTCTGGCAGCATAAGGAAACAAAGCAGGACCACCTCTGCAAAAACCACTTTAGATTGTATCAACCAAAACCCTGCCATGTCAACAATGTAACAAACTCCCTGTTAGCAACCAGGTAAGCCCCTGCAGCAAAATCCACCCTGAAATCCACATGACGAAAACAAAACCGGAAGTAGTTTTATACTTTTGCAGAGGCTTTATTAGCCATCTTTTGCAACAGCAAAATGAATCACCACCATGCTACTTAAGAACAAAGACTTGCCACGTCACGTGGCCTTCCCGCCACTTGAAAAAAGTGGATCCGCCATTTTGTGCAGTTCAAGAAGGCAAAGCCAAGCTACACAATGCAGCAATTTTCAAATCCGCCATTTTGAGCCCTGCCCCTGCTTCCTTGCCCTCCACTTTCACCTACAGAAAGGTTGAGCACCAAAATCTCTCCTTACACCTCGTGCAAAGCACATGACTGCTCTGCAGGGGGGTAGGGTGGGGCATCCATTCTGCCTCCATATATATTTAGCACAATTGACTCGACCTCTGCCCACACATGCAGCGAGGCCAACATGGCGCCCACAGCCAGCATGCCCCCATGCCCGCTTAAAGCGGTAAGTTCTGCTCACACACCAACACAACCGGATCATTCAGGTACTGCAATAACCCACAACATCAGCACATTTTGATCCAAAACATCTCAATGGAAGATGAAAACAAAAAATGGAAGCAGGTATCCGCGGCCCCGATGAGCCAACCAAAATTAAATACAAAAAGAAAAAAAAAAAAAAAAAGAAAGCAGGTATCCGAGGCCCCGATGGGCAAATCAAAAAGAAAAAAAGAAAAAAAAAAAAATAAGAGCAGGTATCCGAGGCCCCGATGGGCTAATCCGCAGCCCCGGATGGGCGGGCTTTCAGATGAGACAGACCCAGCAGGTATCCGCAGCCCGGATGGGCAAATAAAAAATATGCATATAAAGAGTAGGTATCCACAGTCCCCAAGGGCACATTTTAAAAAGTAAATAAATAAAAATAAAAGGCAGGTATCCACAGCCCGGTTGGGCAAAGGGAAAAAAAAATATGCCAGGTATCCGGGCCCCGATGGGCTAAACATAAGGTGAGTAGAAAACCAAATCAATCCAAAAAAGGTCAACCAAAAGTATTCCAAAGAAAAGATGTAACAAAAAAAAAACGGAAATTGCGCGGCAATGACCTAACAATAAGTCGAGAATCTGAAAAACAAGGAGAAGGTGGCAACAAAATAACATAACAAAGCAAGGAATTTCTAAAAAATAATTTATGCAATTTCCGATCTTTCTTTCTTAAATACCCACAAAGTACCCGCATAGTGGGTGGTCTAGAACCTTAAAATGGTCCTTAAACCCGCAAATAAAGAGAAACATACGTGTAGGAAACTCCCGAGAAGACCAAACATGGCTGCAGCACAGGGTTACACAGCTAAAAGAATTCAGTGACGTGGAGGGGGAAGGGTTTGTTAGAGGAGTGGCCTAAAATATTCAATGTCTGACTTCTTCCGGAAGCTATGATCAGTTAAAATGAACAAAGAAAATGAAAAATCAAAAACAAATAAACAAACAAACCAAACAGTACCATACTACAAAGAACTCAAACCACAAGTAGGGTTCAATTCCTGTCCAAAAATCACAACCTCAACATTTCTCATCCGTAAAATGGGTACATACTGCTTTAATGTGTCCCCAACTTGCAACCAGATTTCTAACTCTACCACTAAACTCTTGAGTTCAAAAAGTTATGAGAAACATCTTGTAAACATTTCCCTTCTGGTAGGTAACATACTAAGGGATGTATGAGAGATCCTTCAAGAGTCCCTTGGGGTCTGATGGAAATTGGAAGTGCTTAGGAGTGTGTAGGTGCTACGGACAGGCTCAGAGCAGTAGTAGTAGGACCTCTTAGTCCTTTTCAAACTTTGACTCTTTGGCCTTTAAATAATTTCTTACTTTTGGAGTTTCATGTTCAATTTACATAATCTGTTTGGACCAATCAAAAGCACTGTACTGTTCTAAATTCCTGCTGCAACCAATAACTGGCAAGCAAATAGCATATAAAAGACAAATGTGAGTCAAGGAAGTTACTGTGGCAGTCTTTGAATTTGAATTCCTTTAGTGTCAACCACCACCTCTCACAACATTTCCTTTTTAAAAAGATCCAGACCATTCCAATTACTGACCCTCCCTCTCTGCTATAGACACTGCCTGATATAACCACCAGGTGGCATCATGAAACTATCCAAAGCATATATCCCTCCCTGGTCCTGGTTGCAATAAGCTAAGCAAAAGTGGGATCTGAACTGAAGGAAAAGTAGAATTTCCAGACCAGAATAAAGTGAAGAGTTAAAGAAAAGTATTTCATTTGAAGTGTCCTGTCAGGAGCCACTCTAGACGTAAGGGTGTGTATTTCTAAAGTCCTGAGCAAGAGATACTGAACAATTATAGCATCCAGGAATAACTTGGGGCTTTACCACCACTCAGGTAATCCTATATATACCTTATAACACAATACCTTTACCCTTTGGGGGATAGAATGATCCATGGACCCTTAAGTTCAGACAGCCGACCCCCGAGATCGGACAGCCATCCCAGACCTTGAAATCGAACTTTTCTGTGTGTGTTACCTTGCTTGCTTTGCCATTTTCTTTAGTCATACCTATAAGTGAGCCTATGGTAAACAAGTTCTCTGGGAGTATCATTTGAGGAAAGACAGCATAGGAGAAACCTAAACCGCCCAATCATGTTGGTCCCTAGAAATTAAAGACTGTATATATCGCCAGTATAACATAGGGTGTCTAAAACTAGTGGATATATTTTAGGATAGTCTCCTAGAATTACATGAGGCTGTCATAACTCTGCTCGGATAATGAGGCTTGGCTCCAGTTCGCGTCACCCGGTGGGGTTGCACTCACCTGTTTCTTTGTATCCTACTCTCTTTTGGACAGAATGTTCTAAGAAACAGCATCCCTCAATGAAGCCATCTCCAGAACAGACACTCCACCCCTGTGGGAGCCTGAGGCCAGGAGCTGGGGTAGCCATCCTGAAGCTTATAAAAAGGTATTCCATGTCTGCGTGGTATTTTATGTCGCCCCACAAAGTAAGTGATTTTTTGGTTCAGTTGCTGCGCTGGCAAAGCAGGGTTAGTTAAAAAAACCATTGATAAATCACCAAAGGTGATTTGGACCCTTGAATACTCTTGAGTTGTACAGAAATGGAACACATTATTTTCTTAACTGGTACGATGCTGATCTCTGAAGGTTTGCAAGTCACTATTGGATTTTGTGTGGAATCATCAGATGAAAAATTTGAGTCGTATTCCTTGGCTTCTAAGTAGGCCCAAATCCTGTGAACTTCATTAGTGGTACATTAGTCAAACTTTATTCTCACGCACAACATTTATGGTATCCCTCAAGGGTATAACTGGATGTTGGGAGAGATTTATCTAGTTTATCAGAAAGAAGTAGGAAGTTAATATGTCAAATTTGGCAATTCATTGTATGTATACTTGGCATGAAATTTAAAAGTACTTTAAATAAATATTGAACTCTTAATGATATATATGTGCCAGTGTCCATTTAATATATCAAAGTGTAATATAATATTCTTTCATCTTTGTATGATTAAAAATTTCCATAATTCAGTTAAATGTTGGGGGCAGGGAGTAATATCGTTAAGAATGACAGAGCAGGATAATCCAAAGATCTGATCATCTAGTGAAACAACCACTGAAGCTGAAGAAACTGTCAGAATCATCCCATTTGGTACTCTGGAATCTAATTAAAAACAATATTGCTAGAGTAGAGGAGTATGGAGAAAGAGGTATGTGAGTGAATAAAGGTTTAGGAAAGTTACTGCACCTACTGGAGAAAAAAAAGACCCATGAGCATGACTAGGGTTATCAGTGCCCAGGAAAGACCTGAAAACAATGTAACCTTTCAGTTCAAAGCAACTGCAACCCATAAAAGGCACCAAGAACAAACACTGGAGAGAGGGAGAATTTTATTTTTATTTCCAGAATAATTGCATTATAATGATAAAACATTATGTAGTTTATATGAACAGTTTTCATACACATACACAATTGCAAGGCACATAAAGGCATAAGAAAGTATGGCCCATTTGGAAACTGAATGGTATAGCACTTCTCTAGAATATGCAAGGCCCTCAGTTCAAATCCCCAGTACTAACCACACTTATCCAAAAGTATGACCTGTACACAGGAAAAAAATCAAAGTTAATATTTTTTCACTATTTTGTCTGATATCTCAGTCTCCAACACCATTTCTTCAAGAATATTGTGTACATTGTCTTTATGGAAAATTAAATCCAGTTCAAAGCATTTTTTTAGATTGTATCTAAAATGCCAGTTCACTTTCTACACAGTGGTGCCAAGAACACATTGCTTAAAAGAACAAATGAAAATGATGATTAGTGAATGCAAAGCAACAAATGCAAAGGAATTAGCTCCCCTTACTTCCACTATTCTTTACATATATATATATATGTTTATTTTTATTTGTTTATTTTTATGTGGTGCTGAGAACCAACCCCAGCACCTCACGCATGTGAGGCAAGCGCTCTACCACTCAGCTACAACCCCAGCTCTAGTTCCACTATTCTTCTTGTGCAGAATGGTCAATCCAACTCTTCTTTGGTATCCATGTACTTTTTTTTTTAGAGACAGGGTCTCACTAAGTTACTTAGCACCTCACAGTTGCAGAGGCTGGCTCTGAATTCACGATCCTCCTGCCTCAGTCTCCCAAGCTGTTGGGATTACAGATGTGTACACACACCCCTACCCCCATATACCTTAACCCCACTGACAACTACCATTTTATACTGTTTCTGTGAGTTTACCTTTTTTAGATTCCATATAGAATTGAGATTATGTGGTATTTGTCATTCTATGTCTGGCTTGCTTCACATAGTTTGAGGTACAGCTCCATCCCTATTATCACAAATGACAGGATTTTGTTTTTTTAAGGCCTAACAGTATTCAATACTCCCTCCCAAGAACACTCCCCTCTGTTTTCATTATTATGATTTTTATAGGATGCTGAGGACCAACCCCAGTGCCTCAAGCACTCTACCACTCAGCTACAGCCCCAGCCCAGTTCCACTATTCTTTTTTTTAAATATTTATTTTTTAGTTATAGTTGTACACAATATCTTTATTTTATTTACATGGTGCTGAGAATCAAACCCAGGACCACAAACACAACCCAGCCCCAAGTTTCACTATTCTTATTGTGCAATATGGTCATGAGTTTACCTTTTTTAGATTCCACATAGAATTGAGATTATGTGGTGTTTGTCATTCTATGTCATTCTATGTCTGGCTTGCTTCACATCTATATCTTAGTTATTGTGAATAATTCTGCAGTGAATGTGAGAATGCAGATTTCCTTTGGCATACTGATTCCAGTTCCTTTGGATATATACCCTTTAGATTGTTGGGTCAGTGTTTTGAGTCATGTATATTGTTTCTCACAGTGCACAAGGGTTCTTTTTTCTCCATGTCTTCTCTTTGCATTACTGTACTTTATAGATATTGCATTTTTTACAAATTGAAAATCTGTGGCATTACTGAATGGTGCCAGGTTTCTGTTCTCCGGACTATAAGGTTCAAGGGTTACTCCAGGAAAACTGGGCTAATTGGGCTGCGCAAAATAACCACACAAGAGACACAAATACCTTTTTCTTTGGGGGTGGCTATGATGGCTCTAAGGATCAGTGTACACAGGAAGAGTGAGAACCTGCTGACCCCTTTTATTGAGAAGCTATTCAAATCAGGCCAAGGGGTCAGGTTTCAGGGGCTTCATGATGTCCACTGTCAGCAGGTTGACTGACACCTGGGTAGGCCACACCTAAGGGCACTATAAGAGAAGGGGACACAAGGCACTTCCATGGAAGATTATATCCTAAACAGGTTATATTACAAAGGAACAGGTGAGCATAGCTTCACTCATGGGGCTGTAGCAAGACACACCCATACAGGAGACACTGAAACACCTTCCAAGAAGGGTGGGAAAGCTCTGCCACATTTCTGTGACTGAGCCCCTCAGCGCCCAGCCAAGGAGTGTGACTCAGTCATGTGCAAGGTTGGTCTCCCACAGAGTGGAACAAGACTGTGGAAACCATTTTTTCCAGTCTGATGCCTTGGAGCGCACCTGTAATCCCAAACCTGGAATTCTAACCTCAGCAATTTAGGGAGGCCCTCGCCAATTTAGAGAAAACCTGTCTCAAAATTAAAAAGGCTGGGGATATGGATCAGTCTTTAAAACCCCCTGGGTTCAATCCCTCATACTAATAAACAAAAACAAAAAGATTTCCAAAAATGTGTGTTCATTTTGTGTCTGTCACATTTTTTGTTAATTCTTAGAGTTTCAAACTTTCATTTATTTCTAAATACTTATTCTGGTATTTTTATTTCATATTTCTGGACCAGTATTTCTCAGGTAACTATTACCAGGGAAAGCAAAAGCACAGATGGCAGTGGGGGGTTACTGTAGATTGGTTTTGTACCCCTGCTTAGCTTCTGGTTTGCTCTTGGCACTTCGCTGAAGATGTAGTAAGTCTGTCTCCTTCAGCTTGCCTGTATGTATTACTCTAATTTTAGTGAATGCCTATTAGCCTGTGGTTGGGGTAAAAAGGGGGCATATCCTTCAGTATTGTAATTGAGTGTGTGTTTGTGTGTGTGTCTGTGTGTGTGGTGCTGGGGATTGATCCCCGGGGCACTGAGCTAACTCCCCAGCCCTTCTAATTTATTTATTTGGTACCTGAGATTGAACCCAAGGGTGCTGAGCAACACACACACCACACACACGCAGTTTTATTGTTTTTTTTTTTTATTTTTGAGACAGAGTCTCATAGTCTCCCTAAATTGCTGAGACTGACTCAGCCTCCCCAGCCACTGGGATTTACAAGCCTGGGACAGTGTGCCCTGCTCCTTTAAATTTTATTTGTTTTTTGGTACTGGGGATTCAACTCAGGGGCGCTCCACTGGGCCTACTTTTGAGAAAGGGTCTCCCCAGTTGCGTGAGCTACTGTGCCCCACTAAATTTTTAAAATTTTTATGAAGTCCAAAATCTTTTCTCCAGAGCTACAGTATCTCCATTACTGTAAGGTTTTTTGAGGGGCAGGGCAGTAGACTGGGGATTGAACTGGGGCACTCTATTGGGCTCTGTCCCCACCCACCCCCTCTTAATATTTTAATTTTGAGTCAGGTTCTCTTTTAGTTGTTTCCTAGACCTGGAATCTGATATTCCTGCTTCCAAAAGCTCCCAATTTGCTGGAGGCAGAGCTTGATGACTTCAAGTTTTAAGTATTTCTGTTTACCAGAATTTCAGTATTTGGCTGTCATTTTGGATTTTCCTGCTTTTTACTTCTCTCTGGGGATTGAACTCAGGGGCACAGAGACACATCCCCAGCTCCATTTTGTATTTTATTTAGAGGTAAATCCTAGCTGAGTTGTTTGGCTGTTGCTGAAGATGGCTTTGAACTTGATCCTTAAGTCTCTGCCTCCAGAGCCATTACTTGTCTTTAAAGCAAGTAAATTGAACAGTTTACTATTTACTATAAAAGTACATGCGGCCTGCTCTCCTGAGCCCTCTGGGGGCCCCCCAGGGCCAGCAGGTGAGCTGGGACGCCAGGGACAGGATGCAGCCTCGCTGATCCCCACAGCTCCTTGCCAATGGCTGGCCCTGGCTGTGAAGGACCAGTGAGCCTGTCACCCAGGATGGATGACCTGATGGAGGCGACCCATTAGACTCCGCAGGCTGCCTGGTCTGTTGGCTCAATCCTGCCTCTCCCAGATGAAGCCTCCACCTAAGAAAAAGGGAAAAACAAAGTGCTGATTGACTGTGTGTCTAAACACTAACTTTCGAAAAACTACACCAATTGACAAAAATTCACTTGGCTAATAATACTGGGGCTCCAAAAAGGTACACCTGGGATCCCATGAAATTTTAAAATTCTGCAGCTTTCAATCTTCAACAGGTAACTAAATATAATACAGAAAAAAAAAAAAAAAACGGCTATGGCTGCCTTCCCCAAATTTCCCACACTCATAATACTCACTGTTCCAAAAATTTCTATATTGGTCATATATACTCTGACACAAAGAATATACTGAAGTAAGTTTGTGCATCTACAAATTAGCTTGATAAAATGGGATCTCATTTACACTGGGTTAAAACAGTTCAATGGCTCTATTAAGTTAATACAGGACTTTTGAGCATAAAAACATACCTAGCTAATTAAGAAGGACTTGATGCTAGTGTCTGTTTTCTCATTTGACAGGCCAATTTGGTCTTCTTGAATCTGAAATAATAAGCAAGTAAAATGAATAAGAGGGTAGCAGAGGGAAAGAGGGCACACCTGGGACTAAAATGGAGCAAATTACATTCCATGCATGCATGATTATGTGAAAATAAACTCTACTATAATAAAATAAACTCTGACTATAATGCATCGATACAATCGTTTTTTAAGAAAAGAAATAAAAGGTGCTTTATGGTGCTTTACCCAAACCTTAATACTTTGATTCCATCCTTAAAGCCTCCCTAAACAATAGTCAATATTATTAAAATCGGAGCTGCTTTTGGAACTCGATGAGGAATCAGGATACGTTAAGAACACCCTCTTCCAGGCAGCTTTGTCTGACACACATACGAAGTACATATAAAGTCAAGGTTTTTTAGTATTTCCTAATCTCAGATGCAACATAGCCCTCATTTAAATGTTCTGGGGCTGGGGATGTGGCTCAAGCGGTAGCGCGCTCGCCTGGCACGCGTCCAGCCCGGTTGGATCCTCAGCACCACATACAAACAAAGATGTTGTGTCCGCCGAGAACTGAAAAATAAATATTAAAAAAAAAATTGTCTCTCTCTCAAAAAAAAAAAAAAAAAAAATTATAAAAATGTCCTTGCAGGCGGAAGGCAGAGGGCGGGGGAGGAGAGCGGTCGCTGAGTGATTGTGTCATCAGTAGGCGCCGCTCTTCCCCGCCCCCACCCCTGTCCTTGTCGAGAGGCGGGAAACCTACACAGAGGGAGGAGCCTGATGAGCTCATAGCTCCATGGCTGCTGCTGGAGAGTGCTGCGAGCCAGCGAGCACTGGAGAGCAGCCTACACCTCAGCGCTAACCCGGACCAGCGGGCCCCTGGCGTCCCCCTTTTCCCCAGCTCTCCTTCTCAGAAAAGGTGGCTCCTCATGCCCGTAAACAAGCTAGAGCCTTTGTCAGAGCCCTTGCCAGAGCCAGCAGCAGGACACCAGGGAGGCTGCTACTGCCAGCCTGGACTGGGGACTTCCTCTTTAGTAAGTGGACCCTGAGGAGGGGCTGGGATTTCTGGCTCGGCCTGAGTCACAGCGCAAAGATCCACAAGGTGTAGGGAGAGGAGTCCACGTGGCAGCCTCAACTGCTGGAACACAGGGAAAGTAGCGCCAAGCTGAGTCATTGCTTCTCTCCAGTCTGCTGCCTGGAATACCTTCCTGGGCCTGTAGCATGTCACCCTGGATTGTATGATACCTTACCCCAGCTCAGGAGCCACCCTCACTCTGAGTGTGGGGACCATATAAAGAAATAAAATAAAGGTCTATCAACAACTAGAAAAACATTAAAAAAAAAAAAAAAAAAAAGTCATGGGCTGGGGATGTGGCTCAGTGATAAAGCATGCTTGCCTAGCATTTATAAGGCCCTGGGTTCAATTCTAGCACCACCACTACCAAAAAAAAAAAAAAAAAAAAAAACACCTTAGAAAAAAAAATCATGACTGTCCCTGTACAAGTGGCACAGAAAAAACATAAATAAGCAAGACACCCAGGAAGAAGAAAGGGAGATGAGCAGAACCATCCTCTGGTTGTAGCCACACTACCACTGCTTCTTCTCATTTTTGAGCAGGAGCCTTCCACAGTTACTGCCTCAGTGCCAAGGAGGAAGGAAACCAACCCACTTTCTCAGCACCAGGACTTTTCTCTAAAACAGTGTCTCCACCATCAGCAATATTTCTAAAAGACCTGCCCATTCACCCCCTCCCCTCCGCATTCTATACAAAGACAACAAAAATGAAAACAAACTTGGGCCACGGTTCAAAGGTCCACTCCTTTTCTTTGGAAAAAAAAATATGCAAAATCTCAGAATGTACATGTTCCGTGTTCAGCAATACCAACAACTATTGGGGACCTGAGAGCAGCCAATGGCCAAGGGCAAGAACAACACTAGATGAATTGTGTCCAATCAACTACACGCCTCTTCCAAGAATGGCAGAAAATGTTGCAGGTGACATGTACATGTACTACTTGAAATGTTTCACTTAACTGCTACAAAACGTAAGTGATTATTCAGTCATTAAAAGGAGTAAAGGAAAACAGAAAATTGTAATTAATAATTTTTGCATCAATAATTTTTTTATCAAAGGCCCACAAACCACATGCCTAAACATTTAAAAGTCATAAATCAAGTTAATAAACTTAAAAAGTCATGCTGTTTATTTAAATGTCCAGAATAGGCAATCCCATAGAGATTAGGGGTTGCCAAGCAGTGAGGGGAGGGGACAACAGGGACTAAGGGCTAACAGGTACACAGTGTCTTTTGGGGTAACAGAAGTGTTCTGGAACTGGATAGTGGTGATGGCGCATGGCAAGGTAAATGTGTTGGGAACATTGAAGGGTCCAGGAAGGTTAAAATGGTTGCTGTTATGTGACATACATATCAGTACAATGCAATAAACATAAGGGAGCTCATTTTAACTTTTAAATGGAATAATGAAACTCCAATGACTATTCCGTGTATCTACAAGGCACTTAAAATTAATATAAGAACTCCACTAGTCACTGTAGATGACTTACCTGTCACTGCTACATTAGTAGAGTTCATGCAGCTTCTTTTCATCAATGCCAAGCTTGTATATGGCTCAGTGTGCTGAAATATTCATTTCTACTTTGTATTGAAATTCTCTGAACATTTACTTCAGAAGTCCCTATCTTTGCAGTAAGCCATGGTTTTAACAAAACTAGGCAAATGCATCAAGGCCAGTGTATTGTCACTTCAAAGCATACCCCAGTCCCACATCCCCCAAAACATGGCCATTTTCCTAAATCTCACCAATGGAGATGATGTGACTTTGTGTGCTGAAGAAGTCTTCACCCCTATGCCAAAATCTTCACCTGGCTTTTCTTCCTGAACTCATTACATAGTCCATGATCCATGCACTCTGTACAAATGTACAATCCTAAACTTCTATACCTAGAAGAAAAACAGGCACAGGTCACAAAAGTTAAAGGAGATTATTTACTTCCTTAGGAGGCAGCTGCATCAAGTGCCTTGTCGCTGGGGACAGGATCCCACACTCCCTGATTTTTTGGCCTGCTGCTATACACATTCAGCTTTCCCCACAATCTCTCAGTTTTCATCTCCATATCTCAGCTGCCAACCACCGTCTTTCTACAGTCAGTATGTGTACCACTCAAACTACAACTGCTTTACATTTTAAAATAATGCTAGTGAGCCGAGTGCAGTAGCAGATTCCTATAATCCTAGCAGCTAGGAACACTTAGGCTGGGGGATCAAGAGTTCAAAGCCAGCCTCAGCAATTTAGTGTGGTCCTAGGCAACTCAGCAAGACCCTGTCTCTAGATAAAATATTAAAAAAAGGCTGGGGATGTGGCTCAGTGGTTAAGAATCCCTGGATTCAATCCCCAGTACGCAAAGTAATGCTACAGACCATGAGGTAAGTTGTAGTGAATTTTATAATTTTATGTTGTCTCAGCATCTCTGTTACATATAACATGCAATTTCTCATACCACAAGGAGGGCTTTATTATCCCTAACACATCCTCGGTGTTATCAATTCAGATATATTCTATATCCTGCTAGTGATCACTTCCCAATGGAACAGCTCTCTGCAACCTATTTGACTAATCAATAGACCTCCACAGGCTGCTGGACTGTGCAGATCTTCCACAGTGAGCACCCCTCAATCATAGGTGCCCACCATGGAGCTCACACCTGCTTGCTTGAAATCCACCAATTACAACTCCCCCTGAGAATCTTCTTGCATGAGTCCTTAATCCCAATAATAGCCTTAACACTCAGGACCCTCTCACAGTCCTGCTACCCACATGCTGGTTTTCACAGAGATCCTGGGCAACTACTGCATTCCATTTAACCCTGTGAAGTCACTGCTGTGTTCTCTCTGTGATTCATATGTATCATATATTGAAACATTATATTATACCCTATAAATACATTAAGTTATTATTTGCAAATTAAATGATATAAAATTTAAATATTGAAATCATAAAAGAAAACTATTTGTTATTTCAGGTGTGTGTGTGTCTGTGTGTGTTTCTGTGTTGCCTTCCCTGACTGACACACCCTATCCAACTCTCCTCCTTGTCAGATGTCTCCTTCATGGTGGCTATCTTGGTGGATGTTATGGTTTGGATGTGAGGTGTCCCCCAAAAGCTCAGTGTGAGACAAGGCTGAGGCAGGAGGATCACAAGTTCAAAGCCAGCCTCAGCAAGGACAAGGCACTTAGCAACTCAGTGAGACCCTGTCTCTAAATAAAATAAAATATAGGGCTGGGATATAGCTCAGTGGTTGAGGGCCCCTGAGTTCAATCCCTGGTATCAACAAGACAAAACAAAACAAACCCCCCACCCCCCAAAAAAAATGAATAATAAGAAGCACTGGGGATGTGGATTAGTTAATAAGTACCCCTGTGTTCAATTCGTGGCACCAAAAAATACTAATAATACAAAGTGATGATATATATTTAATATGCAATATTTTTTTACATAATTATTATATATTAGATATATAATATGCTTATGCTTTAGTGAAAACATTTGCATTTGATACATCTCACTTTATATTTATTATTTAGAACAGTAAGATAAAAAATTTCATGACTATATTACAAAGTGTTAAGATTTGGATATGAGATGTACCTCCAAAACTCCTGTTGATGCAGGAAAGTTTGGAGGTGAAATGATTGGATTATTAGAGCTATAACCTAATGAGTACATCCTAGTTCGAATGGACAGACTGAGTGGTAACTGTAGGCATCAGAGGTTTACCCTAGAAGTGTCTATCTTCCCTATGGCTCCTTGGTCTCTTTTTCTCTCTCTCCTTCCTGACCCCACCATAATCTGAGCTACTTTCCTGCTCGTGCCATTTTTACCATGATATACTGCCTCACCTGGAACCAGGAGTAATGGAGTCAGCTATCTGTGGACTTAGACATTTGAAATTTTGAGTTCCAAGTAAATTTTTCCTTCTCTAAGTCGTTCTTGTTGGGTGTTTTGGTAACAGTGACAAAAAAGGTAACTAAAACAGAAAGTGATTCCATATTGAAGTAAACACAATCCATTATGACTGGAAATAAATTTTCATAAGTTACACACAAGTATACGTAATCTACATTATATAATGTACATGCAATCATTATTTTATGTGACAGCATGTGAAATTCTGTATCATTATAAATTTTATAACATGTAATATGTAGGACAAATAATATGGGCAATACATTTTTCTTTCTTTTAATATTTATTTTTTAGTTCTCGGCGGACACAACATCTTTGTTTTTTGTATGTGGTGCTGAGCCACATCCCCAGCCCTGGGCAATACATTTTTCAAATGTAACATAACATGTAATACTACAGAGTATATACTATCACCTATACTACATAGAATACAGCCATAAAATTATATGTAACAATTATCATTGTAAACTTTGTATGTAATATTGTTTTATATAATCATATTTCACATATAATGCTTATATAATGCTTGCACATTATACCATATTATACATTATACATATTCGCACATATAAAATCATATTTAAGCAACAATTGTTTGGTTTTTTTTTATTTTTTTAAAGAGAGAGAGAGAGAATTTTTAATATTTATTTTTTAGTTCTCGGCAGACACAACATCTTTGTTTGTATGTGGTGCTGAGGATCGAACCTGGGCTGCACGCATGCCAGGCGAGCGCACTACCGCTTGAGCCACATCCCCAGCCCCGTATTTAAGCAACAATTGAACATGAAGATATTATTTTTTTATTTAGGCACTGGGGATTGAAACCAGGGGCACTTTAGTACAGAGATACATTTCCAACCTCTCTAAGTTGCTGAGGCTGGCCTTGAACTTGCGATCCTCCTGCCTCAGCCACTCAAGTTCCTGGAATTATAGGTGTGCCCCACTGCGCCTGGTATAATGATTTTATTACATAATGTATAAAGAATGTAAAATACATGATACCATTTAATATTCTACATACTTAATTAATATTTTCTACATGTTATGAATAATATGTCATGTATATGCTAAATATAATATTGTGAACATATAAAAGATATTTAGGATAATTATAACATTATTATACAATGAATGCCATGTCATAAACAACATATTATTTCATAATTATGCATTACTCAATCGAAATGTGATCTATAAAATGATATATGAGAGATGACATTATGATTTAATATATTACATATTTCTAAATATAATATATTACATATTTCTAAACATTAGGACTAATATTTAATTTTGTTATAAAATTACACTTTGAAATACACTTTTTATGTCTCCTTTGTGTAGACTATGATGCACATAGTAAGTAGCCTTGTGAGGGGAGAAGTCTGGCATTGGGAATTTCCCATGGCAGGATCGCAGAGCTGGACGGCCTGATGCAGGTGAACTTCACACTCAAGCTTTGCAAAAGCTCTGACACAGCACCTGAGATGGGTGTGACCTGAGAAGATGCCAATCAACCTGCTGACTACTAGACATCACAAGACTCTGCCCTGGAAACCTTATCCCTGCCTTTGATGTACCCTCTCAAATAAACCACTGGAGCCATCTTTTCTTTGTCTAGTTCCAGACACAATGTGGATTAGATCTATCAGGGGCTTCGCCTATTGTAAATATATTTCTGAATATTTGTATTTTGTTATTCACTAATTATTTGAGACTTTTAAGTTTTAGGGTAGATTAGATTCTCCTGGGCAGGAAAAAGAACCCCACAATGAGACGCTGGCCATTGATCCAGATACAATTACATAATTCCATATGATGTATAATTATTTCATAGTGTTATATATGGGATACTTTTTATTTTATATAAAATGATTATATATTCTATACTATTCTTTTTATCAGCTGCTGCTCAAGTACAACACCTAAGTCAGGTGGTTCCTTTTCTGAAACTCTCTCTTTAGGCTACCACTGAACCAGTCTCTCCGGGACAACTACCAAGCATAGCAAGTATTCTCAAGCCTTTCCTTGCCATCATTCTTCACAATTCCCACTCTCTGTGTTCAGTATTTGGGGAAGTGAATTATACTGGCCTTGACCCCTCACAGTAGTTGACAACATTCTGAAGGAAAGCGGCCTCTCTCTGCCTCACCTCTTATTTCAGTGTAGCTACATACCCAACCAACTGGCACTATCTATCTGAAAGGACAGCTCAGTCTTCAGAGGGTAGCAGTGAGGAAACTCAAGTCACACTGCACCCCGAAGGGACTACTTTGCCACCAGGCATTCATCTCTCCTGGGAATGGAATAAAGTGCCAGCTGCAAATCAGTCTCTACCTATGGAAACCTCCCACGTGTGTGCTGTGTGCCCCCCTGTTTCTGGCATGTACAGCCACATTCAGTCTGGACCCAGAGAGCACGGAACAGTCCCAATGGTTTGTGTCAGAGGAAGATCAGCTGGAAGGTAGGCCACCTACAGCCACACATTTGGAGAATGATTGAGGCCACGTGGTAAGGCACACTGGTGACAAGTGCCATCTCCTCCCATGTGTATATCACCAGCAGTAAAGACACTTCCCTTACCTTCTGGAACTCCACATAGAAGGCCAAGTGGAGCGCATCATCACTCCAAAGCACACTTTGGAAGGATTGCCGCCCGTAATCAGAGTTCTGCCAGAAGAAATGCATTTCGCATTCCATAGGCCAAGAACCCCTCTCTCTGGTCCTGAGTAGAGTCCCCCATTCTGATTGGGAACTCCGCGGACTGTTCTTACAAGACATTCTTCTACTGTGACATGTTTCACACTCAACGTGCCACTGCTAGATACATTTGAGGCCACCAAATGGAAAAATAATGTGTGTTTCAAATTTAATCTTCATTATGCGATATTTAACCTTAAATTTCTGATATTTTTTATTTCTCTTTCCCTCTTTCTGATATTATTTTGGACATATTGTGAGAAACCTTATTGAAGACTTTTTACTGCAATTTACGTCTTCCTAGCATTAAGAAATATCCCCTTTCTCCTGGTGATTTGTCTACATGTCAAGAATCAAAATTTCCACTATTCTTAGTGTACAAATTTGATTGTCATATCATATGACCATCAGAGGAACATTCAGTGAAATGAAAGTTCACATTGGGTTTAAACTATTGTCATTTGTGTAAAATACATGGATCAGTAAAAATAATATTACCATACGATCCTCCTGCCTCAGCCAGGATAATTTTGTCTTTCTGAGTGGTATCAGAATATGTAATATCACTACATTACTACCTTTCTATGTGGATATCACCATCAACAAAGATACTTACCCTTCTACCTTGGGTTGAGAGAATCATTTCACTCCATCCCGAAGCAGAGTCAAAATTTCCCCCCCTAATCAAAGCTGTGCCAGGTATCCCTAACTGAAAAAAATTCACAATGGAGACAAACTTTCATATGTCAAAAATATGTAGCACAAAGAAAATGAAACAATACTTAGTAGCAGGAACAATGGCACGTTTCCCTGTCTGGGTGTTATCCTCCAAATCCTATGGAATCAGCAACAAATAGATGTGCCTCTCTTACTGATGATTCATAGAAGACTTACCATATGGTGATAATTATGTGTACTACATCCTGATTTTATTTGAGGCTAATGTGGTAATGCACATTACATTAGTGAAGTACACTGTTTTGTCTCAGGTATATATAAAGTGTTCGATCCTCAGCACCACATAAAAATAAATAAACAAAATAAAGATATTGTGTCCATGTATAACTAAAAAAAAATTAAAAAACCCAAAAACCATGTCTTCATTATTTGATTGACATGGGGACAAGGACCCAGCTTTCAGGAACATAACCACTGCCAAGGAGCTATGAGGAGGATTTGGGACCAGGGTGTGGCTTAGCAGATGGCAAGAGGGAGACATGCATTCAGAGTACTTCTGAATTAGTGAGGTCTTACCTGAGGACGCATTTTTCAGGCCGACAAGAAGGGTGCCCCATTCACTGGGGGATAAGGGCACTCTGCTGGCAACAGTGGCCCTGGGATCTCACATCTCTGTGGTCTTGCTGCAGCACTCTTGTGCAAAAAATGATGACCTAGGAAGCTAAGTTAGAAGCATGGCAAGATGGAGGCCAACCTCACCAATTTAGTGAGACCTTCACCAACTTAGCAAAACCCTGTCTCAAAATAAATAAAAAGGACCTGGGATGTTGCTTAGTGGTAAAGTGCCAAGGTTTAAACCCCAGAATGGGGTGGGAGCAGCGAGAATGTGGGGAGGAGAGGCTGTAAGTCTGGTTACCTTTCTAAGGTGTCAGGTAGTCCCAGGGAACAGCTACTACCTAGACATATCAAGTTCCTCCTCTTTCCTCAGCTTTTTTTCCTCAACCATGAAGACAAACCAACCTCATGAGGAAGCCTAAAAGACAGACAGACAAAAGGGGGGCCGGTGAGGCACATCAGGTGGCTACAAATGTAAAGAAAATTTTTAAATTATGAAACGAAAATGGACTTAGGTGGCTACAAGTCCAAGAAAAAAAGAAAGGGACTTTGAACTGAGCAAATATCACATCTAGCAAGCATAAAGCTAGCCTTTGATTACTTAACAATTCATAAGCAAACAACTGGACAAATGAAAATAAAATAAAAGGTAAAAAAATTAATTATATACATGTACCATTTTAATATAAATATATGGTAGAATGCATTCATGTATAAATAATATCTAACTAGCCGGGCACTGTGGCATACGCCTGTAATCCCAGAAGCTCCTGAGACTGAGATAGGAGATGAGTTCAAAGCCTGCCTCAGCAACAGTGAGACCCGTCTCTAAAATGCAAAATAGGGCTGGGGATGTGGCTCAGTGATCGAGCGTTCAATCCTGGATACCAAAAAAAAAAAAAAAGAAAAGAAAAGAATAAATAAATAAATAAATAAAGCGAATGTCCATAATTTCAGGAAACTGGAAAGTCAAAATTTGTATAGGGGCTAGTTGGTAAGTGCTTGCCTTGTATGGTTCAATTTCCAGCACCACAAAGAATTTATGTAACAAAAACATTAACAACAGCAATGTGCAGTAGCATAGGCCAATAATTTCAACAACTTGAAGGCAGAGGCAGGAGGATCAGAGGTTTAAGTGTAATGGGGGTTCATTTGATGCTTTGATTATATCCCTTGTGGCTTTGAAACATGTTTTTTTCTTTTCCCAACATTCTTTTCCCTGACCTTCTCCTCCCTTATCTTATTTCTCTGAATCACCTCTTTAACAGTCTCCTATTCCTCATGATGGGCAGAATCACAGGCTCTGGGACACGAGTTCACCTGTTTCTCCTTTGCTAGCAAAACAATGAAACATTTTCCTTTTTCTCAAGACCTTATCTTTGTTATTGGATTGGCTTCAAGAATGAGGATATAAGGTCAAGCTAATAAGTTATGGAGTCCCTGTCTCAAAAAATAATTAGGGGTTTGGGGTTGTCGCTCAGTGGTAGAGCACTTGCCTAGCATGAGTGAGGCACTGGGTTCGATCTCAGAACCATATAAAAATAAGCAAATAAAAAAAAAAAAAGGGATATGGCTCAGCAGCACAGCACCCCTGGGTTCATTCAATCCCCCCAAAAAACAACAAAATGGTTACAAGTTGCTGATAGGCTTTTCTGATAGCAGGACAACATGTATTTGATGTATAGATGATAAATTGAAACAGGAGACAAAAAATGTGTGAGGTTATCCATACCAGGATGAAAGTTACAATTATATCTGGACATACCAGGTGCAGTGATGCACACCTGTGATCCCAGCAGCTCAGGAGGCTGAGGCAGGAGGATCAGGAGTTCAAAGCCAGCTTCAGCAACTTAGCAAGGTGTTAAGTAACTCAGTGAGTGCGGCCTGCTCTCCTGGGCCCTCTGGGGGCCCCTGTCCTGGGGCCAGTGGGTGAGCTGGGGGGCCCGCGGACAGGACCAGCCTCCCCTGCAGATCCCCGGAGCTTCTGCCCACTGCCCACTGGCTGGCCCTGGCTGTGAAGGACTGAGGAGCCTGTCATCCAGGATGGATGACCTGATGGTAGTGGCGACCTGTTGGACTCTGGACCCCGCAGGCTGCCCGGTCTCCTGGCTCAGTCCTGCCTGTACCAGCTGAAGCCGTCACCGGGGATGTGGCCCCTTTGGGTGATTGCGTGCATGGCATGGCCAGAAGAATGGTGGCCGCTGGAATGCCGAATGCCTTGGAGGCCGGCACGGGCTTCAAGATCCCAAGAAGGACAGTTGACGCCTGCAAGCTCGGCCACGTGTTGGACAGCGTAGCCGCACAGACTAGGGCCCTCGTGAGCGCTCAGCGCCGCCTGCTAGACCTCACCTTGTCTCGCCAACAAAGACGGAACCGTTCTGGAAGGTGAGCGAAGCCCTAGAAGGTAGAACTGTTAGCGGCCTCGGGCGGTTGGTGTTCGGTGGTTGGTGGTTGGTGTTGGGGCGGTTGGTGTTCCTTCTAACAAAGAGAGAAATGGTCGAGTCACAGGCCTCATCTGCCCAGTTGGAAACGCCCGCCACCCTCTGGGAAGATTTCCTGGCCTTTTGTAAAAGGCCTTTGTCTATAATGTGAAAAAGCTGCTCTCAACTTGCCACCCACCTTTTAAAACTTGTGCTGCATCTGGACATCATAAAGGTAAAGAGGATGCCTGCCGTGTGATAGAGTTGGATATGAAATTTGTCTTGTAAATGTCCATTTGTTTGAAAAAATCAGAAATGCCTTTTGGAAGTGACTTTGAAATGGATTTGTCAGATCACCTCTAGGAAGTGGTTTTGTTTGTTCAGTGGGATGTTGGACATGGAGAAGACTGACCGTCACAAAGAGTCCTGGGCCAGACTGGTTTTAAGTAACAATTTTTGTATAATAACCATTATTTTGCACGTGCATTTTATTCCTCGTTATTGTATATATGGTTGAAAATGCTAAATACTTTTTTTTTTTTTTTTTAAATACCGAGATGTTTTAAAGTGCCTGATACATGTTAAAAGTAGAAGTGGTGGGCTAGGATGTAGCTAGGTGGCAAAGTGTCTGCCTTGCATTCACAAAGCCCTGGGTTCGAACCCCAGTTCCAAAAAAAAGAACCCCACCCAAAAAAAAAAAAAGATTAAAAAAAAAAACCCTTTAAAAAAAAGTAGAAGTAATAAAATATATAACACATTTTGTAAATTTCTTTTGTTAAAATTCTTATGAAATGGTTTCTTTATTGGGGGGGGGTGCAACAGGGAAACCCCTGTTGAGTAGTACAGAGTTGTGTGCCTGTCCTGGGGAGCACCATGCCAGTGTGCTTACCAAGAGCCAAGAGTTGTCTATGGATTTTGTTTTATTTTGCTGTGTACATAGTGTGTATAAAGGACAAATGAGTCCTCCTAATCTACATCTAGTCTTTCTAGATGTTAAAGCGGTTGCCAGTGTATGACAAAAGTAGAATTAGTAAACCATTTTGTATGTTTTTTGTTAAAATTCCTAGGAAGGGTTGTCTTTTGAAAATTTGAGCATTGTAGCCCACTGGGTCCGTGAAGGGCCAGAATGCTCATATTCTGAAGACAATTTTAAATGAGAACTATTGTTACATGTGTGCTATGGATTCAAGACTGTCATGTACATGATGGACAAATTGAGTCCTTATTTGAAACATCTAGTCTTGTCTAGATGTTTAGAAGTGCCCGATGTATGTTAAATGTAGAGGTAGTAAAATATCACTTTGCAAATATATTTTTGCTAAAATTCATAAGAAGTATAGATTACTACTATCTGTTCTTGCTCAGTGATGTGGAGGAGGTAGGAGGGAAGCAATTGCAAAAGGTCAGTGTGTTCATACTTGGACATATTCAGACATCAGTTTTCTATGTTTTGTGCATTTTGTTTTGCTGTGTATATAGTGTATATAATGGACAAATAAGTCTCAATTTTACAACATCTAGTCTCTAGATGTTAAAGAGGTTGCCAGTGTATGACCAAGGAGTTAGTAAAATAGAACTTTGTGTACATTTTATGTTGAAATTCACAGGAAAGTTTGTCCTCTGTAAAAAGACTTTTGGATATGAATTTGTTCAACCATCTCTGTTACATACGCCTGTACTTGTCCACTGGACTGAAAATAGAAGGAAATGAGGAGGAAAAGGTTCAAAGACAAAATGGTCATATTAGAAGATACCTCATATTTAGTCATTGATACGCGTGCAATTTTCTTTACCAGTGCTGTGTGAATAGTAGACAGGGTCTTTTGTGGAATATCTAGTCCTTCTATATATTTAGAAGTGCTTGATATATTTAAAAGTAGAAGTAGTAAAAACTTTTTGTAAATACCTTTAGTAGAAACTTTTTGTAAATACCTTTTAAAAACTGATGAGAAATATTGTTTGGAATTGTCAAACCACCTCTTAATAGAAAATAAATAAATAAGAGACAAAAAAGGGCAGGATGTGGTTTAGTGGCCTTTGAGCTCAATCCTTGGTACGAAAAAAGAAAAAAAAAAAAGGCAAGTTGCTACGTACAATACAGAGAAAACTAGATAAATTTGCCCTTTAAATGTTATCTTGAGTAACATTCTCATAGTCGTAATACTCACTGTTGTAAAATATGCTCTGAGAGAATGAAAAATAAAGTTAAGGTAAAGCTTTGACACTTACAAGTTGCCTTAACCAAATGGGATCCCATTTCATTCCCATGAACTCTCAGTTAAAATAAATAATATAGCCCAATGTAAATTAAAACAGGGTCTTTGAGAATGAAAACTTAATATAGAAAGGGTTGAGGGGGCTGGGGATGTGGCTCAAGCGAAAACGAAAAAAATAAATATTAAATAGTAAATTCTCTCTCTCTCTTTCTCTCCCCCCCTCTCTAAAAAATAAATAAATAAATATAGTGTGTCCACCTAAAACAAAAAGAATTTTAAAAAAAAGAATAATATCACAGGAAGAAGTTCCATAAAAAAAAAAAATAAAGGGTTGATTATCCCCATTCATTCTCCATTTGACAAACCAATTTTTTTTTCTCTTCATAAATATATACACATAAATAATTTTAATAAATGACACCTAGTGATAATTTATTTCAAACTTCATGCTCTGGTCATATACATCAAGGAATCTCTACCCAATATCTAATATTTAATATTAATATCTAACATTCAATATTATTCAGATTAGTGACTTTATCCAAACAAGAAACAGCAAATATCTTCTTTTTATATGTTTGCCTAATTGTTCTGCTCATTGCCTCTTTCTAAAAAGCCTTTCAGTTGCAGTTTGTCTCCACCTCCAAAGGGACACAACATGACTTTCATTTTTAAAAAAAAAAAAATTTAAGTTGTTGATCTTTATTTATTTAAGCATGGTGCTGAGAATCAAACCTAGTGCCTCACAAATACCATGCAAGTGCGCTACCACTGAGCCCCAGCCCCAGCCCCCACAAAGTGGCTTTCTAGGCCATGAGGTGGGTCAGCAGCTTTAATTCAAGACCTCTAGTCTAGGCTGAATCACACTCCACACTGAATTTAAAAGTTTTCCCATCACTCTTTCCAAATTATTTTTTTTTAATTTATTTTTGCTTTATTTTAAATATCATGGGTTTAGCCATCGTATTATAACCATTCTGAAGCTTTTACTGTAGACTTCTAATGGTAATAGAATGAGCAACTTTATTTGTATTTGGAAACTCATAGGTATTTAGTATGATACTCAAAATTCACTTGTGCATGAAACAGTTTTAAATATATTACATTTAGATTTTCTTCTGAAAAGACAATAATGCTACCTTTTCTGAACTTGATAAACCCATTCTGATTCCCTCTTAAAATTGGGAGCCATCTTGCCACCAAGGCATAAACAGCTAATTTCGGCTTTACTATAAATTACTGCAAATTCTAAACTGGTTGGAATGCCTGCCTGTGCCTGGAACTCACCCATGCCTGGCCTTCCCTGACCAGATAACAACCCTCTCTAAGGCTCTAATGACCTTCATAAATTCTGATGTTGGGGCCAGCAAAAAAGATAAACTAGCCTTTGTGTTATGCTTCTCAGAGTTTTGTTATCTGTAATCCCCCTTTGTGTAACTTTCTGGGCTATAAAGCTGTGCTTCTAAAAAGCTGCAAGACTGTCTTTTGTTGGGAGAGGCAGCCTGGCTGGTCGAAATAATAAGCATGCTTTTATTTGATTTTAATTGGAGTCAGTGGTCTATCTTTTGGGGTTTTTTTTCGGGGGGGGGGGGTACTGTGGATTGAACTCAAGGGTACTCGACCACTCAGCCACATCTCCAACCCCATTTTGTATTTTATTTAGGGACAGGGTCTCACTGAATTGCTTAGTGCCTCATCCTTGCTGAGGCTGGCTGACTTTGAATTCCTGATCTTCCTGTTTCAGCCTCCTGAGCTGCTGGGATTACAGGTGTGTGCCAACACACCCAGCACCATTCCAAATTTCTAATGAAAGCACTTGGTGCTATACATTTTATAAATTTCCCTTTCTGTACTTTAGCTCTATTCCTCCTGCCTCAGCCTCCTGAGTTGCTGGGATTACAGGCTTGTGCCACCAAGCCCTGCATAACAGAGGTTTTCCAGGTGGCTGGAACAACTTGACCCACTTTTTCCTCCCCACACCTGCAAGCACAGCAAGCTGTCTTTTGAATGCAAATCATCTCCTGATTGCTTGGAATCCCCACACTTGCATTTTCCAGCCAGGTGATTTAGCCTCACACTGGAAGAAAAAAAAAAAGCTGTGGACTCTCTTGCCTCACTGAAAAGTGCAAGACTGCCCTCCAATGGATGCAGGTTGCTGTGGCTGCAAATGGCCCGACTTCAATTGAGGCACAGGGGGGGAAAAAAAAGCAAAACCACTTTTATTGCATTGCCTTAGTAATTTAGTAACCTCTCACCTGTCTAATCGAATCTAGAATGGATCCAGGGCTTGTTGATATATAGGTGCTGCTGTGCACTGATGCCTGCTGTCTTCATTAAGGCTTAACCAAATACCCCTGACCCACTAATTTGAGTGAGTCCTATACAGTCCAAGTTCTCCCTGCAATTGCCAGCCTTAGTATGATAAGAAAGGTAACCACAGTTGCTATAACACCTCTGAATGGGAACTAGTATCTAGGTTAAATTGAATGGATTCTAAAGGTTTCCTTCAGGTTCTAAAGGATTGTTACTAAGAGGGAGAGGGGATAGCTTCTGCCAAGGGAGTGTCAGGTAAATTGTTGGGCAGTGTAAGGCCTAGCAGATGTCAAGAGGGAGACATGCATTCTGACCACTCACTGAATAGGTGAGGCAGTATCTGAGTCCAGACTTTTCACCCTGACAAGAAGGGTACTTATTCTATTCACTGGGGGAACTCTGCTGGCAACAGGGGCCCTGGGATCTCACATCTCTGTGTTGCTGCTTCTCTTCTTCTATACCCCCTCACCGATCCCCCTACAGGCCAACTATAGAAAGGTAAAAGGGCTTGCCAATGCTCCTGGGCTCTTTTCTATGTTCTTTGGATCTTGGGGCTTTGCCAATAGATCCTGCCATCCTTGCTAGGCTATTTTCCCCCAAGATGAAGTCACTTGTTAAGCCCTCAAAAGATTAATGGCTACAAAATGTGAGGCCAATGAGATCCACAAATGGAGGCCACCACTCAAAAATGGAGCTACTTGGAATCCCAGGAATGTGCTAGACAAACAGCCAAAGACAAAGAATATATATATATTTTTTGCTTTAAAAGAATGGGGGTGGGGGGCTGGGGTTTTGGCTCAGCAGTAGGGTGATCGCCTCGCATGTGCGAGACCCTGGGTTCAATCCTCAGCACCACATAAAAAAATAAATAAGTGAAATAAAGGTATTGCATCCAACTACAACTAAAAAATAAATATTTTTTTAAAAAAAGAAAAAAGAATGGGGCTGGTGCTGTGGCTCAGGCCTGTAATCCCAGTGGCTTCTGAAACAGAGGCAAGAGGATGGAGAGTTCAAAGCCAGCGTCAGCAATATAGTGAGCTGGTAAGCAACTTAGTGAGACCCTGTCTCTAATAACATACAAAATAGGGCTAGGGATGTGGCTCAGTGGTTGAGTGCCCCAGAGTTCAATCCCTGGTTCTCCCCCCCCCCAAAAAAAAAAATAATGGGGGAAGGAGAGACAATCATCACTCATTTGTGTAGGTTTACCATACTTGCATAATGGTAAAATTTATATTGTATTTAAAATAACTTTATTCTGGTATTATAGATTGAAACCACTGTCAAGGTCATGCCATGAAAGTGGCCTACCACTAGGTACATACATAGCTCCAAGTCTGTGTTTTATCGCATATGATATTTACAGACAGACAGTTAATGTAATCCCCATGATTCAGGAGGCTGAAGCAGGATTTCAATGCCAGTCTCAGAAACTTGGCTGGGTTCCCATAAATCTGATGTCTTTTAGTACTTCTTAATCTTAGATGCAACATATCCCTCATTTAAAATGTGCTTGTAGAAAGAAGACAAAAGGTGGGACAAGAGTGGTCACCAGGTGATTACATCATTGGTAGGTGCTTCTCCCCCATCCCCCCACACACACCCCACCCCAGATGGGAGCTCCACCCAGAGTGAGCTGAACTGTGGCACTAAGGCCACCACCATGAACAGACTGAGAGCAAGGGATCCTAGGAGAGCTGCCTCAGCACCAACTTGGACAAGCAGAAACTGTGGCCGCCCTCCTCTATGAAGCTCTCCTTTCCCACTTGAATGTGAGCTGGAGCCAGAGTGGCAGCCAGCAACTGAGGGACAGGGAGGTGGCTCATCAGTGAGAGGATGAGTAGGGACTGGGATTGCTGCCTGGTCCCAGGGGTTGGTAAAGGACCTCCAGGGTATAGAAAGGGGGCCCCAGCAACAGGGACACATGCCGCAATGGGTGCAGCCAAGCTGAGCTGGCTGGTTCCTCTGTCTCTCCCCAGCCTTGGTCATTCTCCCAGGGTTGTAGCAGCTTACCCTGAATTGCATGAGCCAAAGACACAAGATCAGGACCATCCCCCACTAGACCCAAGAGGCTGGGGCTCCATTGTGAAAGGTGGCTGGGAGCAAGACCACATCCAGCATGTTTTCCTTAGCTTCCCTCTCCCCTCAACCCTCTGCTGGGGCCTTCTTCCTTTGCTAGTGGCCAGCATCCTGATTCTTAGAGCCTTGGCTCCAGCCCCTTACTCAGTGGGGACCAGGGGGTTGGGCAGAGGACTGCTACCCAGGGACCTGGGAAAGGATTAAGGCATAGGCACAGCCAAGAGGAAACTATGAAAACAAAATCATGGGCTGGGGATGTGGCTCAAGCGGTAGCGCGCTCGCCTGGCATGCGTGCGGCCCGGGTTCAATCCTCAGCACCACATACAAACAAAGATGTTGTGTCCGCTGAAAACTAAAAAATTCGCATTAAAAAAAAATCATTACAGTTTCTGGACAAGTGACTCTGTAGGGGCACAAATCACAGCCTGAAGAACCCAAGAAGAAAAGAGGAAGTGAGCTGGACCACCTCTGCTTCCTCTTCCCTGGGAGCTCAGAAGAGACCAGGGTTTGAAAATTAATCCGAGATTTGTTAAGCACCAGGTAGATGAGGAATAGATGGATCCTGTGTTGAAGAAGGAACACCAGTAACAGCAGCAGCAACAACTAATACACGAGGAGGGCACTACAAAGAAGTGGTGAAGTTGTTGGAAAGAGACCAAAATGATTCTCTACAAGCACAAGTGGAAGAAAGCAATGATGAATTCATTTCTGTCGACTACAACTCTTCAGGAAACCAATAACAAGAAGATGATGCCCAACAAGCTGATGAAGAAGATGAGGAAGAGGAAATAGATCTGGAAAATGATGATTTTCATCAGTCTGATGACAGCACAGTTGATGCACACACACATAGTAACAGTGTCACAAATTCCAGGAGTAGGGGGGACCTGCTCATCCATCAACTCTCCTCACCATTCTACACAAAAACAACAAAAATGGGAAGAAACTTAGACCATGGTTCTGAGGTTTGTTCCTTTTCTTTGGGAAACAAACCATGCACCATCCCAAAATACACAAGTACCACTGGGCTTATGCCAAATTCAGTAAAACCATCAACTTTTGGGGACCTGAGAACAAGCAATAGCCCAGGGCAACAATGACATTGTATTACATCAGTCTAACCATCTACAAATCTCCAGTAATGGCTGAAGATATTTTGTTTTATTTTATTTTTGGTACCAAGGGCCGTTTAACCACTGAGCCATATCCCCAGACCCCCCTTTTTAGTTTTTGAGACAGGGTCTCGCCAAGTTGCTTAGAGTCTCACTAAGCTTCTGAGGCTCGCTTTGAACTTGCAATCCTACCTCAGCCACCAGAGCCACTAGGATTACAGCCATGAGCCACCATGCTAAGCTCAGAATATTTTATGTGACATGTACAAGCATGACTTAAAATGCTCCATTAACTTCTGCAAAAAATAAGTGATTATTTGGCCTATAAAAGAAAATGAAATAAATTGACTAAATTATATTTTTACATTGTGTGCATGTACAAATATATAACAATGAATCACACTACTATGTACAATTGTAGAGCACTAATTGTAAGGTCCTTGCTTAGCATCTGGATGGGCATCCTAAGTGACAGATGCCATTTTAAAAAAAATTTCGCTTTTCTACCCAAGGGCCTTTCTGAGAAGGGCTCACCACTCCCTCATACCAACCCCACCCTTCACTGCCCACATTAGGAGCCACTGGGCTCTAACTCCTGAGCCTCCCCAATAAAAGTCTCTAACCCCAAGCCTGTGTGGCCTTTCTTTCTTATAGAGAGATGGCCTTTATTTGTCAGCTCTGACAAATAAACTCTCATGTGTATCTCTGCCTGGCTCTGTCTTTCATTTCTGGCTTGCCCGTCTGTTTCCTCACTTTTCTTTCATATATATATAAATGGAGGCCTACAAATCACATACTTAACATTACTGGTGTACTCCTATAATCTCAATGATTTTGGAAGTTGAGATAGGAGGATCACAAGTTTGAGGCCAGTCTCAACAACTTAGGAAGGCTGTAAACAACTTATTGAGACCCTATCTCAAAAGGGTTTGGGTTGTAGTTCAATGATAAAGCTCCCCTGGGTTAAATCCCCAGTACCCCCACACCAAAGTAATCAAGTTAACAAACTGTTTAAAAAAATAAAGGGGCTGGGGATGTGGCTCATGGGCTGGGGATGTGGCTCAAGCGGTAGCGCGCTCACCTGGCATGCGTGCGGCCCGGGTTCGACCCTCAGCACCACATACTAACAAAGATGTTGTGTCTGCCGGAAAAATAAAATAAATAAATATTAAAAAAAAATAAAAATAAAAATAAAGTACTGTTACATGCTACCCCATAAATGAATCCTGGTAACATTGTGCTAAATGACAAAAATCAGACATAAAAGGCCACACACTGATTCTGTTTATACAAAATGTCTAGAATGGGCAAATATATAGAGAGAAGGTAGATTAGGGGTTGCCAGGCAATGCATTAGGGAATAATTGGGAGTAATTTCTAGTAGGTACATGGTGTTATCTTGGGTGATGGAAATATTCTGCAACTGGATAGTGGTGATAGTTGCATGGCACAGTGGGTGTGCTGGGAACCAGGGAAGTGTACAATTTGAAATGGTGACATTATGTGACATATATCTCAAAAAATGCAATAAAGCTGGGCATGGTAGCATAGGCCTATAATCCCAATGATTCCTAAGTCTAAGGAAGGAAGAGTGCAAGAGGAAGGGAGGGAGGAAGGAAGGAAGGAAGGAAGGAAGAGGGCAGGATTGGAGATGTGATTAAGTACCTTTGAGTTCAATCCCTTGTGTTGGGGGAGAAGGAGGGGATTAAAGGAAGCTCATTTTAACTTTTAAGTAATTTTGAAACTTCAATGGTTAGCCAGGAGCAGAGACACACAACTGTACTCCCAATGGCTCAGGAGGCTGAGGCAGAGGGAGTTCAAAGCCAGCCTCAGCAAAAAAAAGTGAGGTGCAAAACAACTCAATGAGACCCTGTCTCTAATAAAATACAAAATAGGGCTGGGCATGTGGCTCAGTGGTCTGCTGCCCCTGAGGTTAATCCCTGATACCCCTGGCAAAAAAAAAAAAAAAAAGTCCAATGGTTATTTTGTGTAGGTGTGCATTTTAAGTTTTGGTATTTTATTCTATGTTCTGGTTTGGATGTGCGGTATTCCACAAAAGCTCACATGTTGGGCTGGGGATGTGGATCAAGTGGTAGCGTTCTCACCTGGCATGTGTGGGGTGCTGGGTTCAATCCTCAATACCACATAAAAATAAAATAAAGATACTGTGCCGACCTAAAACTAAAAAATAAATATTTTAAAAAAGAAAAGGAAAAAAAAGCTCACATGTGAGACAATGTAAGAAGATTTAGAAGAGAAATCATTGGGTTATTAGAGTCTTATAGGCCTATGCTACCATGGCCTATGGTGATTTAATCCATTGATAGGGATTAACTGACTGGTAACTGAAGTGGTAGGGTGTGATGAAGGAAGTGGGAATTGGGGTGTGGCTATGGGGTATATACTCTGTACCTCAAGAGTGGAGACTCTCGGTCTGCTTCTGAAGTGGCAACCCCTTTCTCCACTGAAAAGTCTTAACTGGGCCTCTCCAGAAATCTTCACCCAGACTGATTTTAGGACTGCCAGCAAAAGAGTCTCTGCAAAAGACTTCAATGTAGATAAACTTCCTATTTTTGTGTCGCCCTGTTTTACTTGGCCACTGGCCGAGAAGATACCAGCACTCCAGGTGCTGAACACCCTTTACTAGTTTTTCACAAACATATCCAGTACAATACTTTGTAGAAATGTGCCAACAAGGTCTCTGGCCTTGAGCTGGGCTTCACAGAGATGTCTATATTTTTAAGATAAGTTACAAACGGGCTCCATGGTAACAGGTGGCAGGGGGAGGAAAGAAAGGGGAGAAGAAGCTCTCCCCTTCTCAAATGTTGTCCTTGAAGAGTTAACTTGCCCAGAACAGTGAAAGAAAAAGCTGCTTTTATGTGAACTTCTGCAGACTGTGAACTTCTGAGCCCCTCCCCTTACATGCTGGGTATAAAATTCTAAAACCCCCTGAACTTGGGGTTCAGGGGATTGATTGATTACAGCAAAAGCTGTACCCTCTAAACCTGGCTTCAGCCAAATAAAACTGTTTCCTGCTATCTTCGATGCCTTGCCTCGTTTGTCCCTACAACACTTCCTCATCACCATGTAAGCCACTTCTGCCACACTCTTCTACCATGTTGTTCCTGTCTAACTTGGAGCCCTGAATAATGGGGCTGGCTGTCTATGGGAAACTGAAAGAGCAGGGCAGGAGAGATACAGTTTAGAGACTAAATTAGAGGCCAGGAATTGTGGGGTCCACAGACGATATAAGGAGCTAAGACCAGGTTCCCACATCACAGGCGTTGATCCCAAAAGAGATTCCTGGGGTGCAGTCCTCCAACAAGGACTGGCAATTGCTATACCCCACCTCCAGGAGTTCCACCTCCAAGACTAACCCACCCACCCTAGTAACCATCACCAACCTGAGGCTGGAGATACCAACAAACAAAAGACAACCCCACCTATCACATAAAAAGGGAAGCAGAGAAGATATTGAACTCCAAGAAAAACAATCGTTCAATTTTCCTTCCAGATTTTTTTTCTTTCTTTCTTTTCCCACTCTCACATCTGTGAAACTCAGTACTTTTCATGCATCAGGCTACTGAGAAATGGGATGTCTGAATTGTAGATTACAATTTTGTTGTGCATTCTTTTATGTTTACGTTATTTTATTTTTCTCTTTAATTATTTTTCTTTTCAATTCATATTTTCTTATTTTACTTTTACTTTTTAAAATCTATCTATTTTGCACAAGGCCCTGGGTTTGATCCCCCGCACCCCCTAAAAAAAGAAAAAAAAAATATTTATTTATTTATTTACTCTCTCTATATATTTTCATCTCCCTTATCTGTTTCCCAGGAGCCTCTTTCTCTCTTTTCTCCTGCTAACAGCCAACTTTCTTTTGATTCTTCTTTCATGTTTCCTATCATCTAATACCTCTATATTCTCACCTCCTACCTTATAAACATCTCATACTGCAACCCCGGTTCTGTCTTTGTCCACCATTAGAAACTGTAACCCTTTCACAAACCTGCTGTTTATATTGTAGATAATAATCCAATACATCGTTCCTGTTTATTGCTACAAAACTGTAAACATCTTAATAGGAGCTATTTGGTTAAAGGCCGCATATGGTTTGCATTGGGTGCTATTAATATTGATCTCCCCCTTAAAGGCGAGATTTTGAAACCTGCAGGGACACTATAAGCCTATATGGTAGAAACTATAATACCTCAGATCTGCACTGCTAGAGGGAAAGACACACGAATAATGTGAAAAAACAAGGGAAGAAAGCACCGCAAACAAACCAAGATGCTACAATAATAGAATGCATTGACAGCACAGTAGAAGAAATGTCAGAAAAGGAGTTTAGAATGTACATAATTAAAATGATCTGCATAGTAAAGGATGATATAAGAGAGCAAATGTAGGTGGCAAAAGATCACTCCAATCGAGATAAGAGAGCAAATGCTGGGCTGGGGATGTGGCTCAAGTGGTAATACGCTCCCTGGCATACGCAGGGCTCTGGGTTCGATCCCCAGCACCACATAAAAATAAAATAAAGATGTTGTGTCCACCGAAAACTAAAAAATACATATTATTATTTATTTATATTTATTTATTTATTTTTTATTATTATTAGTTGTTCAAAACATTACAAAGTTCTTGACATCGTATTTCATACATTTGATTCAAGCGGATTATGAAAAAATACATATTAAAAAAATTCTCTCTTTCTCAAAAGATTCCTTCAAAAAAGAGAGATTGGAAATCCTTGAAATAAAGGAAACAATAAAGCAGATTAAAAACTTACTAGATCACTTGGAAGTCAGAACCTCGGGCAAAGAAGGGCTGGGGATATAGCTCAGTTGATAGAGTGCCTGCCTAGCATGCACAAGGTCTTGGGTTCGATCCCCAGCACACACTTCCCCCCCCAAAAAAAACCCTCAGACAATGAAGACAGTATATAATCCTGAAAATAAAGTTGATCACACAGTGAGGCTGGTAAGAAACATGAACAGAACTTCCAAGAATTATGGGATAACATTAAAAGACCAAATTTAAGATTTATCAGTATAGAGAAAGGCACAGAGATACAAACCAAAGGAATGCACAATCATTTCCATGAAATAATATAAGAAAATTTCCCAAACCTGAAGAATAAAATGGAAAAATCAAATACAAGAGGCTCATGGGACACCAAATATACAAAATTACAACAGATCCACAACAAGGTGTGTTATACCAAAAATGCCTAGCATACAGAATAAAATTTTAAAGGCCACAGAGAAAAGTATCAGATTACACATAGGGGGAAAACAATTTGAATCTCAGCAGATGTCTCAACCGGACCCTCAACGCTAGGAGGTTCTGGATCAACATATACCAAGCTCTGAAAGAAAATGGATGTCAACCAAGAATCTTATATACACCAAAATTAAGCTTCAGATTTGATGACAAAACTAAAACCTTCCATGATAAAGAAAAATCAAAAGATTACAAACAGAACATCCTCAGCAAAATATTCCACGAGGAGGAAATGAAAAACAACAATGAAAATCAGCAAAGGAGCCAGGTGTGGTGGCCCACGCTTGTAATTCCAGTGGCTCAGGAGGCTGAGGCAGGAGGATTGTGAGTTCAAAGCCACCCATAGCAATTCAGTGAGGCTCTAAGCAACTCAGTGCAACTTTGTCTCCAAATAAAATACAAAATAGGGCTGGGGATGTGGTTCAGGGGTCGGTGGAGTGCCCCTGAGTTCAATCCCTGGTTACTGCCCTCCCCCAAATAGAAAGGACTGGTGATGTGGCTCAGTGGTAAAACACCCTTGGGCTCAATCCCCAGTGGGAGGGGAAAATTGTGTATTATAAATTGGGTTCATGTACCATGAATACATAATTAAAGTAAAATTTATGTAGTTTGATATCACTTATGAAAATTCAAAATTTATACTAATTTATACACAAAAGATTTGTGTAAGGAAAAGGTAAGCAAGATGATGACTGGCTTTGTTCCTCTAAAACACAGATTCAAGTGAACAGTAAGTATTTCTAAAGCATAAAAATTGACAAAAGTTCATGGAATTAGTTATAGTGGGGTGAAAATGGTTACATCTGGACATCTCATAAA